GGTAACAGCTAAGTACCTTAATGTAATTTTCTTCAATAAAAATGGTAAAAAAAGAACCCAACATTTCTTAAGCAAGAATTTTGCTAGGACTGTCTGGGAGTGGTCTGAGTGAGGGGCCTAATTGGACGAGCCTAATGGGAGGGATATGTAACCTCATAGTGTGGAAATATATATAAAACACAGGAAAATTACATGTTGGACTGCACTGGGCCTTTAAGAATATAGCATTATACAATATCTCCCCTCACCCAACCGATGTTCTAAATCCACATTATACAACGGGTGGGTCTAATCCTGAATGCTGATTGGTTAAAACTGCATTCCAGCCGGTGTCTATTCCACAAGTTACCACCAGCTAAATCTATGACATTAACATGCCTATTTACTCTGTTCCATCTGACTGCGCAATCCACTGTCTCATCAGCCCAGCCAGGTCATTTATAAACTTGATCTCCACTATAAAAAGCATCTAGACATTATCTCACATTTCTTTAGACTAACATTTAGTTTTCAACAGCGGAGATTTGTATAAACCTTGCTGTCTGTCTCTCAGACATTTGCAACATGACATTTGCAACATTGTTTCAATATTCAAATTAAATCTCCAGCTGTCCCATAGTAATGAACATGTTGGGAGTCGGTACAAGACAGACAGGCAGGCAGCGTTTCTCTGCCAGTCGAAATCATGAATCAGCTGGCATCATTTTTATGGATTTATACAAATAAATGTCAATTGAAAAAAGGTAAAACCAAACGAAGTGCAGCTAGTTTGCAGTCTTTCCAGCTTCAGTTTGAAGAAGATAGCCCTATTTGGTAAAATACCAAGTCCATATTATGGCAGGAACAGCTCAAATAAGCAAAGAGAAATTACAATCCATCATTACTTTAAGACATGAAGGTCAGTGAATACGGAACATATCAAGACCTTTGAACGTTTCTTCAAGTGCAGTTGCAAAAACCATCAAGCGCTATGATGAAACTGCCTCTCATGAGGACCGCCACAGTAATGGAAGACCCATAGTCACCTCTGCTGCAGAGGATAAGTTCATTAGAGTTACCAGCCTCAGAAATTGCAGCCCAAATAAATGCTTCACAGAGTTCAAGTAACAGACACATCTCAATATCAACTGTTCAGATGAGACTGTGTGAATCAGGCCTTCATGGTCGAATTGCTGCAAAGAAACCACTACTAAAGGACACCAATAAGAAGAAGAGACTTGCTTGGGCCAAGAAACACGAACAATGGACATTAGACGGGTGGAAATGTGTCCTTTGGTCTGGAGTCCAAATTTGAGATTTTTGGTTCCAACCGCTGTGTCTTTGTGAGACGCAGTGTCGGTGAACGGATGATGTAATTTTTTTAAACATTTTAGTCATTTAGCAGACACTCTTATCCAGAGCCACTTACAGTTAATGAGTGCATACATTTTCATACTGGCCCCCCGTGGGAAACGAACCCACAACCCTGGCATTGCAAGCGCCATGCTCTACCAACTGAGCTACAGGGGACCTCCAGATGTGTATTTCCCACCGTAAAGCATGGAGGAGGAGGTGTTACGGTGTGGGGGTGCTTTGCTGGTGACACTGTCTGTGATTTATTTAGAATTCAAGGCACACTTAACCAGCATGGCTACCACAGCATTCTGCAGCGATATGCCATCCCATCTGGTTTGGGCTTAGTGGGACTATAATTTGTTTTTCAACAGGACAATGACCCAACACACCTCCAGGCTATGTAAGGGCTATTTTACCAAGAAGGAGAGTGATGGAGTGCTGCATCAGATGACCTGGCCTCCACAATCCCCCGACCTCAACCAAATTGAGATGGTTTGGGATGAGTCGGACTGCAGAGTGAAGGAAAAGCAGCCAACAAGTGCTCAGCATATGTGGGAACTCCTTCAAGACTGTGGAAAATAATTCCAGGTAAAGCTGGTTGAGAGAATGCCAAGAGTGTGCAAAGCTGTCATCAAGGCAAAGGGTGGTTATTTGAAGAATCTCAAATATAAAACATATTTTGATTTGTTTAACACTTTTTTGGTTACTACATGATTCCATTTGTGTTATTTCATAGTTTTGATGTCTTCACTATTATTCTACAATGTAAAAAAATAAAATAAAAAATAAAAAAATAAACTTGAATGAGTAGGTGTTCTAAAACTTTTGACCGGTAGTGTATATTAATTAAATATTTTCTACAATTGTAAGGCGATTCTGTATTGTCTTTGTCATAGCCACAGTATGCCAGTTTCACAGTAATAAAACATTCATAATTACATTAGCTGACTGAACTGCCATACACAGTGCTCAAGGACAGACATACAATATGGATTTTTTAAAATATGTCAATTTTCTGGCATATATGGTACTGATGAGGTTGAGGACACTGATAGCCCCTTACTATACACTGTGTCTGTCTACTGTATTTGTGCATCTCAGTTATTATATTGCTTGTGTGGTAAAAGAATAAAAAGGGGGCATCATCGTCTCCGTAGTCGTCACATGACATGTCGATGACCAATAAGAACTTCAGTAACTTTTTTGCTATTTGATAAAGAACGATGAGCAAAGACAAAGCTGGAAATGACTGCATTTATTCGTGGAGATCCCCATTATCCCAAATCATCCGTTTTTAGTCAAAGTATTTGTTTTTTTTATATTCGGATTTTATATGACATCCAAAGTGGCCAAAGTTTTGCAGCATTGCATTTAATAGGTTTAATTATCGTCGACGTCTGGCCTACCTCATAGGTAATCAAATGTTGGGAGAAAAGGCACAAGGTAAGTCTAATATCCCCTAGTTGAATCTGTAAAATTGTCTTAAACTTTGGATATGCCAACATTAACTTTGTAAACCCACAGATAGGCCTATGCAATATTTTATACATAGAGTAATATGCCTCTAATGTTTTGTTGTAGCAAGTCCATTTCGAATAGCCTATTTAAAGTAATTAGGAAGGAGATAGACCACAATTTTAATTAATAAATTATGTCTGCACTTCCCATATTTGTGGCGAAGCCTTAAAGCATAATGCATCTAGACAAATATTATATAAACCTTGCATAAGCCTTCAGCAGGCTATCCGAGGAATAAGCTATTCGATAAGTTCAAAAGTATTTATCCTTGAACACTTTTATTTTTGGTTTGTTTGGCTTCTTCATGTCTCAGTAAGAAAAATCAGAACAAATATTACACTAGCTACCTAGTTTGGCGCATTTGAAATCAAAATGGTACAAAATGAAATGCTTCCTCTCGACATCTGGACTTGAGATATAGAGTAGGCTAATAGATTTCGATATCTTTAAAGCTGTTTGCATAATTGCCAAAACGGCAAATAGAGTCAATATGAATCAGTGAATCGAATTGAATTCTACAAAATAGCTTATGCCCAAACAAAATAATTAAGCCTACTTATCTGATATAACCTAATCTTCCTATTTTGTCAAAATTAATGACAGTACGCTAGTTAATAGACTAACGCTCCTTGTTGAAATGTATTGTTGAAACGGCCTTGAAATATAATGAAGTCATATGCATGGGGTCTGCGTTTCCTTTTATAGATCTACCCTAGCACATATCTAACGCCTATTGATGTGAAAGTATACGTCTATCCTTTGATGCGAAGGCCTACTCATTTCTTGTAAAACATATTGCTGTTCACATCAATATGGCCTAATTTAGTCTACATCTTAATAACGAAAACAAAAACGACTGATGATTATGATAATAGTAATATCAATAACAACAAACAACATGAATAATAATAACAGTAATTGCAATAAATATAATTATAGCCTAACAATGATAAATAATATTAATATGAATATAAATAGTATTATTATTAATAATGATACTCATAATAATAATCATAAGATTAATAAGAAAAATACTACTAATAATAGGCCTACTAATAATATGAATAATAATGGATATCATCACCTTCGGTCATCCTCCATTCCTTTTTGATACCATGTTGGTTCACGGCATTCTCCTTCAGATTTGACATCTCTAACCGTTTATTATGTAGCAAGAAAGAGTACACCGTCCCGCATAGGTTGTTTTCTAAATATAGGTTGTCGCATCCACGGCTAATTGACCAATCTCCCAATAGAAGAGCCTTGAGTACAGGACCTGTGCGCGTGTCGAAGGCTATGCGTGCGAGGCGTATAAAGACAGAAGACTACTGAAGCTGAAGCGCGCGTGGACCGTATTGTGTGTGTGGATTATAAAACGCGTTATTCTATCCTGGTCTGGGGCATTTAATGATTAATAGGATTAAGCACTTGGAAGAAGGGGTCAATAAAGGTATCCAACTATGCGCCTTATATTTGGTGTATTTTGGGCTCAACGAATCTGTCTAAACATTTGCCTGTTTTATTTTAGGATAATGTTGGTTGGCCCTAATAGACGTTACATAATTCTATATTTTTTGGATTAAATTGGATTTGTATAAACTATTAATATTTTTAAAAAATGGTATGCTCGCATATAATATGGAATCATCAGTCTTATGTTTGTGAAATAGACAAACGATTGCCAATCAGCTCTCTTAAAAATGTGAATATCACCAGATCATAATAATAATAATAATAATAATAATAATATGCCATTTAGCAGACGCTTTTATCCAAAGCGACTTACAGTCATGCGTGCATCATCAATTTATCATGTTCAATGTGGAAATCAATAAACTTCTGCATTCTTCGCCTATGTGCATTATGATATGTCAAACCATATTAAGATCATAATTATTAATAGCCAAACTTTTTTTTGTTAGGTTTTAGGCCTATTGGAATTAAGTTTGATTTAAAGCAGACATTTTATTCACAACTGCTATGCATCCTGCAATTTGGTCCTGCGTTTTCTAATTTGTCAAGGGCAGTAAATGCATTTGATTAAGAAACGGTACATTATTTGAATGAATTGATTAATTACATCCCTGTGTCATCCGTTTTTCTTGACCCTTGATTTTATTTGCGAACTAGGCGTCCCTTTGAAAGTAATGGACTACACCTATGATGCAGATTTGGAAGAATTGTGTCCTGTTTGTGGAGATAAGGTCTCAGGATACCACTATGGACTCCTTACATGTGAAAGTTGTAAGGTATTTTCATTTGGAATAACTCATTATTTAAAATGTCCTTTCCCCCCCTTGTGTTTGTGGGTTTTGTGGCCCATCAACCTAATGTCGATATTTTCTCCAGGGCTTCTTCAAGAGGACAGTCCAGAACAATAAGAGGTACACTTGTGCAGAAAACCAGGAGTGTAAAATAGACAAAACACAGCGGAAGAGATGTCCCTTCTGCCGATTCCAGAAATGCCTCAATGTTGGCATGAGATTAGAAGGTATGGTTCTCCTCATCATTCTTCCCCTTCATTTGACGTTATCAGTGAGAGCATTTCAACATTATTGTCCAGAATAAATATACCCTTAATGTTGTGCTATATTTTTCCATATGCATATATATGCATATATATATATATATATATATATATATATATATATATATATATATATATATATATATATATATTTATGACTGTAGATCTATTTGCATTTTGTAATAATTTGCTATTCGCCTAAAATATGTAGATTTCTTCTTTATGGCCGGTAGGCCTACAATGGATGCCTGTTTTAGCAATCAGTTGCATCTGGATTGTTAAATGTTTTTGCAAAAGTTGTAGTGGTAGCTTTGAATTAGGGACAGACAATATACAGACTAGAGCGGTTTAGCATGAGGGTCCACGTGGTTTTGTGAGGGGCTAGAGCGCGCAAAACATGAGGGGGCCAGAGCGCGGATTGCGCCAGTGATTCCCAGGCATGTGATGCGAGAAAGCACCTGTTTCCGTGGAGAAATTACACATTCTTGACCTGCTGATAAAACTCTGGGCTTCTCGCTGAGGTTTTAAACGGATACGTTCTATTTACATCAACAAGGTTAACGTTATGTAACTGCAAAGGCATTAGCTTATGTTGTGTACAGTAAATTGTCAAAAAGATAATTCAAATTTGTAATAGAATAAAGGAGAATGGGTCACACTTTCAACAAACTATCTGTTAATGAGCAACTGCTTGCTACGGTTATGGTTAGGGTAAGGTTAGTAGATAGTTAGTTGAAATGCTACTGATACATTTTAGTCATTTAGCAGATGCTCTTATCCAGAGCCACTTACAGTTAGTGAGTGCATACATTTTCATACTGGCCCCCCGTGGGAAACGAACACACAACCCTGGCGTTGCAAGCGTCATGCTCTACCAACTGAGCTACAGTCTATCCAAATAAAGTGTTACCGGAGTATGATACCCTGGTGGTTGTTTTACACTGCTTTTTCAAAAAATTGGTTCAGGAAACTGCCAAACACATTCCTGACTAAATTAGGCTATTTTCCTGTGCACTTGTTATGGCTGTATTTTCAATGATAGATGTTTGCATGAGTTTCTTTATAAGGACTTATACATTACCAGTCAAAAGTTTGGACACACCTACTCATTCAAGGGTTTGTCTTTATTTTTACATTGTAGAATAATAGTGAAGACATCAAAACTATGAAATAACACATATGGAATCATGTAGTAACCAAAAAAGTGTTAAATAAATCAAAATATATTTTATATTTGAGTATCTTCAAATAGCCACCCTTTGCCTTGATGACAGCTTTGCACACTCTTGGCATTCTCTCAACCAGCTTCATGAGGTAGTCACCTGGAATGCATTTCAATTAACAGGTGTGCCTTCTTAAAAGTTAATTTGTGAATTTTTTTTCATTCTTAACGCGTTTGAGCCAATCAGTTGTGTTGTAACAAGGTAAGAACAGCTCAAATAAGCAAAGAGAAACAACAGTCCATCATTACTTTAAGACATGAAGGTCAGTCAATACTTAAAATGTCAAGAACTTTGAAAGTTTCTTCAAGTGCAGTCACAAAAACCATCAAGCGCTAAGATGAAACTGGCTCTCATGAGGACTGCCACAGGAATGGAAGACCCAGAGTTACCTCTGCTGCAGAGAATAAGTTTATTAGAGTTACCAGCCTCAGAAATTGCAGCCCAAATAAATGCTTCACAGAGTTCAAGTAACAGACACATCTCAACATCAACTGTTCAGAGGAGACTGTGTGAATCAGGCCTTCATGGTCGAATTGCTGCAAAGAAACCACTACTTAAGGACACCAATAATAAGAAGAGACTTGCTTGGGCCAAGAAACACGAGCAATGGACATTAGGCCAGTGGAAATGTGTCCTCTGGTCTGGAGTCCAAATTGGAGATTTCTGGTTCCAACTGCCGTGGCTTCGTGAGACGCAGTGTGGGTGAACAGATGATCTCTGCATGTGTATTCCCCACCGTAAAGCACGGAGGAGGAGGTGTTATGGTGTGGGGGTGCTTTGCTGGTGACACTGTCTGTGATTTATTTAGAATTCAAAGCCCACTTAACCAGCATGGCTACCACAGCATTCTGCAGCGATACGCCATCCCATCTGGTTTGGGCTTAGTGGGGCTATCATTTGTTTTTCAACAGGACAATCACCCAACACCTCCAGGCTGTTTAAGGGCTATTTTACCAAGAAGGAGAGTGATGGAGTGCTGCATCAGATGACCTGGCCTCCACAATCCCCCGACCTCAACCCAATTGAGATTGTTTGGGATGAGTTGGACTGCAGAGTGAAGGAAAAGCAGCCAACAAGTGCTCAGCATATGTGGGAACTCCTTCAAGACTGTTGGAAAAGCATTCCAGGTGAAAATGCCAAGAGTGTGCAAAGCTCTCATCAAGGCAAAGGGTGGCTACTTGAAGAATCTCAAATTAAAATGTATTTTGATTTGTTTAACACTTTTTTGGTTACTACATGATTCCATATGTGTTATTTGTCCAATTTGCAATTTGTAAGTCGCTCTGGATAAGAGCGTCTGCTAAATGACTAAAATTTAAAAATGTAAACAATTTCACTTTTGACTGGTACTGTATAAGGAATTATTTTACACGAGTGACATTTGTCCATGATATCTTTCTGGCTATAGTAGCCTAGTAACAAATTGCATATAAAGATCCACTGTTGTCGATCTAGTTCTGTTTCTCAACGTGATGTCTCTTCCTTTGATAGCGGTGCGTGCAGACCGCATGCGTGGGGGCAGGAATAAGTTTGGCCCCATGTACAAGCGGGATAGAGCCATGAAGCAGCAGAAGAAGGCTTTGATCCGTTCCACAGGCTTCAAGCTGGAGTCTGCTCCTCCACAGCTCTCCCCTGTACAGACTAACTATGGCTTCACCGGCACCCTGCACAGCCTCCCCTCCCTCCCCAAAGGGCTCATGCCCTCCATCCCAGCCTCCAACAATGCCACAGACTACGAGGCCAGCCTCTACGGACCCCCCTCCCTGGGGGTGGCCATGCAGCCCCATGGACCCCTGCCCACCCAGTACCAGTACACAGCATTCCCCAGTAGGGCCATCAAGTCTGAGTACCCTGACCACTACACAAGCTCCCCAGAGTCTCTGGTGGGGTACCCCTTACCGGACGTGTACCCCACCGGTGGCTCCCCGCAGGCTCCCAGCCTGCCCCCCCTTGTGCTGGAGCTGCTGCGTTGCGACCCAGACGAGATGCAGGTGCAGAGTAAGATCATGGCCTTCCTGCAGCAGGAGCAGAGTGGCCGGGGCCGGCAGGAAAAGCTCAGCACCTTCAGCCTCATGTGTCGCATGGCAGACCAGACTCTGTTCTCCATAGTGGAGTGGGCCAGGAGCTGCATCTTCTTCAAGGAGCTCAAGGTAAGCTCCCAGGCTCCAGTCCACACAGAAACGATAGGCGAGAGATGCACATTGAGAAAGTATCCTTATAACCATGATCACAGTATCATATATTATCATTGTAATGATCTTATTATTCCACTTAATAGATAAGTGATATCAAGAACATTCAAGAATAAATTATAGAGGTAGAGCTTTATCTTTTGGTTACCTGATGTTCTTGCTGGAACGCTGCACCCACACACAGGTATTCGCAGTAAAGAATGAAGGCCTGTGTAAAATGTTATATTTATTATGACAGATAGCTGTCATTGTTTCTGCCCCTCCTTGTTCCTGGTGGTGGCACTCAAACAGAGCAGCAGTTAAGGAGATGACACCATAACCCAGTCTGGGTAATGATTTCAGATGCATCACTGTCCAAGCCAGATAGGCCTTGTACTTTAATTATCTTTGTCAACTGAATGGTGTATTTTAGTTGTGCCATACTGTACAGCATAAGTTATGGCTCCAGTCAAATTTTACTCCCGGCCCCAGAGAGAGACATCAATACTGTTGTTGGACACTGTAGTAGCTGACCTGGATATGTTATGTTACAGAGACAATGCAAGGAGACAAAGCATGCTGGTCTTGATGAGGGACAGTATTTATTTTTAAAATACAAAATACATTTATAATTAAAAATATTATCGCAGTTTACCCTTCATTGGTATCAGAAGTCTGATGACACTATGTTGTGATAAGAGCATCTGCTAAAGGAACTACATTTAATTGTATATGTAAAAATGGACAATTGCAAAGCATGCTAAGTATTATTCTAATGAGCTCTGCCCGACACAAGGCCAATAATAATACCCAGTGTGCTTTGCAGTTAATTTTGGTATGTTCATTTTCATATATATATTTACGTTTTGGTCATTTAGCAGAAACTCTTATCCAGAGCGACTTACAAATTGCAAATTGGACAAATAACACATATGGAATGAAAAAAACATATCTCAGTTATAGCAAGTAAAACGTTTCTGTAACCGTTACCGAGAATGTTGTTGTTGTTCGGGCCAGCTACTTGCAAATGAATTTCTGTACTTTAAAATACAAAATACATGTATTTTAATGAAATACATTTCAAAATACAAGTATTTTGTAGTCTATTTTGATACATTAATCTTTATGGTATTTTGTAATTGTATTTTGTCATTGTTACCCATCCATGATGAAGGCTGACCAGTGGTATTGCTCAATGGTCACTGTGCTATTTGTTCATGCTGTCCTCAGCCAGAGAATGGTTTGCGACGGGAACTTACTAACGGATTGTTTGCTCTTTGCAACGTGAAACATTAGAAAACATGTAGCACCAGGTCTGAATTGAAGCGTATATTTAGAAGCAACTTTTTGTCACGTTATTGTTATCTCTCTCTCAGCCTTATCTCAGAGACAGTGAGTCCATTGTGTGGATTTTCTGATGGGCCACACTCCCTGAGTGAGAAAGGAAAATGGTACAGTGCCTTCAGAAAGTGTTCATACCCCTTGACTTATTTCACATATTGTTGCGTTACAGCCTGAAATCAAAATGGATTAAATATATAAAAAAATCCTCACCCATCTACACACAATACCCCATATTGACTAAGTGAAAACATGTTTGTAGAAATCTCTGCAAACCTATTGAAAATTAAATACAGAAAAAATCATTTACATAAGTATTCACACCCCTGAGTCAATACTTTTTAGAAGCACATTTGGCGGCGATTATAGCTTTGAGTCGTCTTGGGTATGTCTGTATCAGATTTTCTCCCATTCTTCCTTGCAGATTTTTTCAAGCTCAGTTAAGTTAGATGGGGAGCGTTGGTGAACAGGAATATTAAAGTCTTACCACAGATTTTCAATGGGATTCAAGCCTGGGCTTTGGTTTGGCCACTCAAGGGCTTTCACATTCTTGTTCTGAAGCCATTCCAGCGTTGCTTTGGCTCTATGCTTGGGGTCATTGTCCTGTTGGAACGTAAATCTTCTCCCCAGTCTAAGGTCGTTTGCACTCTGAAGCAGGTTCTCATCAAGGATTGGCCTGTATTTGGCTCCATTCATTGTTCCCTCTATCCTTACCAGTCTCCCAGTCCCTGCCGCTGAAAAGCATCTCCATAGCATGATGCTGCCATCACCATGCTTCATGGTAGGGATGGTGTTAGACAGGTGATGAGCTGTGCCTGGTTTTCCCCAGACATAGTGCTTTACATTCAGGCCAAAGAGCAATTTTTATCTCATCAAACCACATAATCTATTGCCTTATGCTCTCAGAGTCTTTCACGTGCCTTTTTGCAAACTCCAGGCGTGGTGTCATGTGCCTTTTTCTCAGGAGTGGCTTCTGTCTGGCCACTCTCCCATAAAGTCCAGATTGGTGAAGTGCTGTAAAGACTGTTGTCTTTCTGACAGGCTCTCCCATCTCAGGAACTCTGTAGTTCTGTCAGAGTGGTCATTGGGTTCTTGGTCACCTCCTTCACCAAGGTCCTCCTTACCCGGTTGCTCAGTTTGGTTGGACGGCCAGCTCTAGGCAGAATCTGGGTAGTTCTATATTTTTTCAATTTCCCAATGATGGATACCACTGTGCTCTTGGAAACTTTCAACACTGTAGAAATTGTTTTATACCCTTCCCCAGATATATGCCATATCACAATTCTATAGTATAGTTTCTGCTCTGACATGCACTGTCAACTGTGGGACCTTATATAGACAGGTGTGTTTCTTTCTAAATCATGTCCAAACTATTTAATTGGCCACAGGACTCCAATCAAGTTGTAGTGACATCTCAAGGATGATCAAAGGAAATTGCACCTGAGGTCAATTTAGAGTGTCATAGCAAAGGGGTTTGAATACTTATGTAAATGATACCCAAGACGACTCAAAAATACCCAAGACGACTCAAAGCTATAATCGCTACCAAAGGTGCTTCTACAAAGTATTGACTCAGGGGTGTGAATACTTATGTAAATGAGATACTGTATTTAATTTACAATACATTTTCAAAAATGTCTAAAAACATGTTTTCACTTTGTCATTATGGAGTATTGTGTGTAGATGGGTGAGAACAAAATACATGTAATCAATTTTGAATTCAGGCTGTATCACTACAATATGTGGAACAAGTCAAGGGGTATGAAGACTTTCTGAAGGCTCTGTATCTCTGTATAGGCTGTGTCAGAGGGATACACACAGTGGCCAGTGGCCCCTCACTTTAGTTTACTTTAGTCTTTCTTTAGGGGTGGCAGGCCTATATGCCTATGAGGACCCACGTTCTAATGCAGTGATCAGTGGTTAGTAGTTACGGCAGGATCATCAGGACTATGGTGTAAGACCTGACTGGGGAGGAGAATTCTGCCCCCGGACAAACAATGGTCTGAGACATAACATCAACGATAGTGATGGGGTTTCGTTTTGAAATAATATCAGATAAAAAGGTCATCAAATCTTATTTTAGTACATTGTATGTAATCTCATCTAGCTATGGGATTATGATTATGGAGAATGTGAGAGCCTCTTATGTGTCTCTGTGTGTATGTGAGTGTGCGTGTGTGAAATATTTTGTGTTGGTCCTGTAGGTCCAACCCGGGAGCAAGATTGGACTTCTCCTCTGGACAGATATATAGTTTCATTCGAGGGGTAGTAATTCTGTCATCCCCGTGCCAGATGAATGTGTGTCCGGGTGCGGGACAATGCTATTAGGGGGCTACAGCAACACTCAGTGTGTCACCAGCTGCAGAATTACTGACTGAGTCGTCCTTCGGCTCCCAGAGTAATATGTGCTAGCAGTGAGTGTCCAATCACCCCCCTCCCCCCCCCTGGCCACCTCAGCCCCTCACACACCACACACTCCTGTCGGCTTTAATGGGCAGGGCTAGGGGGGTGACGGAGGACAGGGAGAGGTGAGGAGGTGGGAGAGGTCATCTCTGTGGCTCGTAAATGCAGCGTGATGAGACGCGAGACACTGACACCAGCCCCAGATGCTGGAAATATGGCACAAGGACCCTCATCTTCCTCTCTTGGTTTTATAGTCACCCCATTTATCTGTCCACGTAGCTATGGTGTGTTTCAGGTGGAACCACACTATCCCATGTCGATGCTAGCTTTTAAGGGGGTTGATATTAAATTGATGCCCGCTTGAGGTTGTAATATCAGTGTAGGCTGTTTTATTTGACATTGGGTTTGACATTAGATTGGTTCTCCACTACCACTATGTTTTGCCAGCTGTGTGGAATGAGTTTGAGCTTTGAGGTGACCTGTTGTTTTCTGTTTATTCTTTGAGGTGGGGGATCAGATGAAGCTTCTTCACAACAGTTGGTCTGAGCTGCTGGTCCTGGACCATGTCTTCAGACAAGTGCAGCATGGGAAGGAGAGCAACCTGCTCTTGGTTACTGGCCAGGAGGTAAGCAGCCTTGCAGTTCCAACATAAAAATAATGCAATGCTCATTCATTAATGAATACCAGAAATACATACAGTCTCACACACACATGCATTCATCATGTAGTCATTACAAATACACAACCTCTATGGATAGCAATACATATTTGTGTAGATAGATTTATTTTGCAATAATGTGTCTCTACAAAGTAATTACTGTTATTACATTGTTCCAATGTAATTACCACACATTATTTTAGTGACACAATATAAATTGGGACTATATCCACAAATAGATAGATAGATAGCCTACTACTGTAAGCGGAGACCCTGTTATTGTAAGGAGTGCCTATCCCTGACCAAATGATGACCCACACAGATGCCTGCTCTTGTTTTTCCACATTTGGTCATGTTTGGAGATGCAGAATAGAACAGGAAAAAACAACCATCAGCTGACAGGCTTCAGCTTGTCTCTGCAGCTTGTAACTGACTCCTGGGTGGAGAGGAGAAATATAGCTGTTTGTTTTTATTTGTCTCTTGTTGAAATGCCGTTATTTATTTATCATAAGACAGCAGGAAAACTTAAAGCATTTTTATCTACAGACTAGGTTTGTGGGAACAGGAGGAAGTGCTATTATTTCTAGAAACTGCTATGGGAATTGGAGGATTTAACGTCCAATATGTTACATACAATATCAATCTCATTCATTTAGAAAGTGGTGAGAAACTACGGCTGACTCATTATATGGCATCTATGTATTTGTACTGAAGCTGTACTGTACTGTAATTCAGTACATTTGTACTGTATGTGGTGGGTTTCCAGCACAATTTAAAGCCTGTATATACAGTACAATATAATGTTGTCCTCCTGTGTGGTATTGCAGATGGATCTGTCATCCATGGGGTCCCAGGCAGGGGTGACTCTTTCAGGCCTGGTCCAGAGAGGACAGGAGTTGGCTGGGAGGCTGATGACCCTGCAGGTGGACAGGAGAGAGGTTGCCTGCCTTAAGTTCCTCCTCCTCTTCAATCCCAGTGAGTAGACCACATGGATAGACAGTACCAGTCAACATTTTGGACACACCTACTCATTCCAGGGTTTTTCTTTATTTTTACTATTTTCTACATTGTAGAATAATAGTGAAGACATCAAAACTATGAAATAACACATATGGAATCATGTAGTAACCAAAATAGTGTTAAACAATTCAAAATATATTTTATATTTGAGATTCTTCAAATAGCCACCCTTTGCCTTGATGACAGCTTTGCACACTCTTGGCATTCTCTCAACCAGCTTCACCTGGAATGCTTTTCCAACAGTCTTGAAGGAGTTCCCACATATGCTGAGCACTTGTTGGCTGCTTTTCCTTCACTCTGCGGTCCGACTCATCCCAAACAATCTCAATTTGGTTGAGGTCGGGGGATTGTGGAGGCCAGGTCATCTGATGCAGCACCCATCACTCTCCTTCTTGGTAAAATAGCCCTTACACAGCCTGGAGGTGTGTTGGGTCATTGTCCTGTTGAAAAACAAATGATAGTCCCACTAAGCCCAAACCAGATGGGATGGCGTATCGCTGCGTATCGGTAGCCATGCTGGTTAAGTGTGCCTTGAATTCTAAATAAATCACAGACGGTGTAACCAGCAAAGCACCCCCACACCATAACACCTCCTTCTCTTTGCTTTACGGTGGGAAATACACATGCAGAGATCATTCGTTCACCCACACCGCGTCTCACAAAGACACAGTGGTTGGAACCAAAAATCTCCAATTTGGACTCCAGACCAGAGGACACATTTCCACTGGTCTAATGTCCATTGCTCGTGTTTCTTGGCCCAAGCAAGTCTCTTCTTATTATTGGTGTCCTTTAGTAGTGGTTTCTTTGCAGCAATTCAACCATGAAGGCCTGATTCACACAGTCTCATCTGAACAGTTGATGTTGAGATGTGTCTGTTAATTATTATTATTTGGGCTGCAATTTCTGAGGCTGGTAACTCTAATGAACTTATCCTCTGCAGCAGAGGTAACTCTGGGTCTTCCATTCCTGTGGCAGTCCTCATGACAGCCATTTCCATCATAGCACTTGATGGTTTTTGCGACTGCAATTTCGGTATTGACTGACCTTCATGTCTTAAAGTAATGATGGACTGTCGTTTCTCTTTGCTTATTTGAGCTGTTCTTGCCATAATATTGACTTGGTCATTTACCAAATAGGACTATCTTCTGTATACCCCCCTAGTCACAACACAACTGATTGGCTCAAACGCATTAAGAAGGAAAGACATTTCACAAATTAACTTTTAAGAAGGCACACCTGTTAATTAAAATGCATTCCAGGTGACTACCTCATGAAGCTGGTTGAGAGAATTCCAAGAGTGTGCAAAGCTGTCATCAAGGCAAAGGGTGGCTATTTGAAGAATCTCAAATTAAAATGTATTTTGATTTTTTAAACACTTTTTGGTTACTACATGATTCCATATGTGTTATTTCATAGTTTTCATGTCTTCACTTTTATTGTACAATGTAGGAAATAGTAAAAATAACGAAAAACCCTTGAATTAGTAGGTCTTCTAAAACTTTTGACTGGTAGTGTAGATGTTCCAAAGCTCTGCATTAGTGGTGTTTAGGCTATGCGTGGAAGCCAGGAGATGCTAAATGTGTTTATGCTAATTAGGCAATTACCATGAGACCGGCAGTTATTTGCTTGACAATCACTAGCTGACAACATTTCATGGCCGCCGCAGCCCTAGGTGCAGTATATAGTGTCCATTTGTCAGGTTGTTTTTGCTAGCTAGCTAGCTTCATTCAGTTTAAGGGACACGTGCGCCAAATTATGTAAACACGCCCAAATGTGCAGAGCTTACCCACACAACGTGTTTAGGCAATACGCATGCCCTTAATTTGCAATGCAAACAAATGCCAGATAGGCAAAGCAGCGAGGCAAATGCTGACCCTGTCCTTTAACAGTGACTGGAGCCAGGAACTGCGCGCAAGTCAATGATTTGAATGGATGGGGACATTGGGGAGGAAGGCATGCATACCCCAGGGCCGGTGTTATGGGCGGGCCTTAGGGGTCCTGGCAAAGCGAGAGGGCTCACTCTCGCAAAAATCTGTCCAGAATAAGCCCAATGGGTTTCTATGTGCTTAATGTACAGAGCTAAGCTTCCCGCCTTTGGGACAATGACTCCCAATGTTAGGATGGAGACATGAGCATCTCGTCATTATATACAGATCTCTGGTTTCAGCCACACGAATTGGAAAGGAAAGTTGGCAGGTGCACAGTGCACAGTTCGGATGATGGTTTCTCCTAAAGCAAATGTATGTTTTGCCAAAATAATATAATTACTCCTTTCTAAATAAAAGTATTCAAAATACTTCCCCAGAGAGCATGACTTAGCCAATGATAATCATTAGCTTCATAAAAAAATAGGCCTATGCCTATTTGGGAAGCCCCGAATTTGGGCAGTGCGTGTGACAATAGGCCTAGTTGACTATTGAGTTGTGGCTGTCAGTGAAAAGCATGTCAAATATGTGTGAAGATAATGTGTCTTGAATATCATTTGTAATGTTGATACAAGAAGAAGGGGAGGGGTGTGTGGCAAAGAAATGGCACATCTCTTTCCAAAATGCATGCACTCAGCTCCCCGGAATGTGTTTAGCTGTCTCCCGCTAATTCTTGTGCATTAATTGTTTCATTGTGTGAATTGTTTGCCCTTTGATTGTTTATTTGTATCAATTCCCCATTACACATGTCACCATTAGGCCTAGTAAATGTACTGTTAATCCCTGTCATTTGGTTACATTAAGTTATGTTAATGCATGTATCAATTACAGTAATTTACTGTTCTCATTCTCGGAGTGGAAACGTTGTTTGCAGAGTTCACAACCTGCTACACTTGTGAGAAACAAGTTTTGGTTTATTTCATAACCATCCATTTTTTTATTGTCTTTTGTTTGGAGTGCATCCATATTTGTCTGGTTTCTCTGTCCTGATGACTTTTAGGGAGCACACGCACAGAAATACCTGGCCTGCTTAGCACAAATGTAGGAAAGTGCCCATTTGGGGATGACTGATTTCTGATTGTCTTAAAGGAAAACCACACCCAAACCCACTAATTCCTTTAATTTACAGTGTTAAATAACATGAGAATAATAGTTTGGTGACCAAATGTTTCCTTTTGGCGTTATAATAAGGTTGGTAGCAACATGGAAAATCGTTCTGGAAATCGGTTGAAGCTCAAGTCGACTACAAAATCCACAATGTAATGCTTTCTCCATGGGCTGGCTGGACAAACGTAGCTACACACAATAATATCAAAGACAATATGAACATGTGAAGTAGCTGGTTAGCTGTAAAATCGCCTAAACAAACTGCACTATCAATTTAGGAGTCGACAATCTCACCATGTTCAAACTGCCGATCGATGTGCCTCACAGAGATGGGAAATGTTGCCCATGTTCCGGCAATGGGCCGCGCGGTGCATTCTCGGCGATTCCGGGACAGAGCACTCTCCTTCAAGGAGTGAATGGGAGTCTATTGGGCGCTAGCTCAAAAACCCAACATAAGCACGAATTTCGTCAACAAGAAGTACAACATTACAAATATTTTCCGAGATGTGAGATAATTAATTTGCTATCTGTTGTGTCGTATAGCTTTGGAATCGTGACATTACGTACTTTTGAGGAAAATAGGCAAGTTTCTCGACATATACACTGACTCTGAGAAGGGATTGCGTGATGACAGGATATTTTTTTGTTGTCATGTTGCGTGACGCAACGTGAACGCGATTGGTCGACAGTCTGCTGTGTGAGGCGTTATACGTTCATTCATTCATTGAATTCCTATATTTTTTCTATAATATATCTGGTAACGGCACATGCAACGCACCCTGAACTAAAGAGGCAAACAAATAGGAAAAATGTGCTAGAACCTCCGTTAAATTACACATTTCTCGAGGTAGGAATATAGCAAAAATATGATCAATGGCTAATTCCAGTGAAGACTGTAATATTCATATGTGTCAGCATACTGAATTGTAATTGGATGCATTCTACTGTCATATCATATTGTGCTATGATTGGTTAAGACCACCCAGGTGGTAAGGTCATTGGAAAGATGATCATGGCCGGAGACACATGAACATGCCAGTTATAGCTAGTTAATAAAGAGCTACGTTTATAAATATCCTGTCGTCCTGCATTTTATTATTTTGTACAAAGCATACAAAACAAGACAAAGACATTGGCCAGTATTGAAATCTGACATGCATGATAGACGTTTTCGCGATCTTAAAGTCCTATTCCTATTAACTTCCAGTGTAGTCACAGTGCTACGTCATTTATCACCGTGCTACATAACTTTATCACAGTGCTACATCATACCAGCAGAATTTCTGCCTGCTTGAATGCCAATAACTCAGATACACATGAAAACATGAAATTACCCAGGGAATAGATGGAACATCACTCATAGATGCACAAAAACAATATAACATTCAAAATGGGTGAACCTTTCTTTAACTCAGCACTTCCACCACTAATAAGCTGAGCTTCTTCATTTTTTCTTCAGCTCACACAGTAAGTCAACAAAGTCTGTTTTTTAACATCCATTGAGAATGATAATAGTTCCTCACAGTATTAGAAAAGTATTTTCAACACTTTCCTGGCCTCGATAATTACGAAGCCTTGGTGTGAAAGAGCAAAATGTCATGATTTGATGATCCCATATATCCAGTGGAAACGTCATAAAAAAACAGCTGTCTGTCCGGAACTGGCGCAGGAAACTCTGAGGGCCCATAATAGGCTAGTTGATACAATGTTGCAAATTCGCTAGCCACAGCTTCGGGCTGGACCCAGTTGATTGATTTGATACGTTGCACTTCACGAGCATAGCTCATGCAAGACAGATAGAAAGGGAGGCAGACAGGATATTTTCTACTGTTTTTATTTGTCGGCTTTAGGCCTATGTGTTTAGCCGCAAATGGATCACAGTGTATCAATGTGTCAATATAGCTGAGGCTGGTGCTCTCCCATTAGTTAAATTTTTGTCATTTTAATTCAGATTTTTATTATTAACCACGTGGCAATGATTTTGAGAAATTAGAACTTTATTATTGAAATTAAACTTTTCCACAAAAAATGATCAAAACTGGCACGCAGATCGGTAGAAATGGTAGGATAAATTGTAAACTCACAGGCCGCCTATGGTCTTCACTATAAAAATAAATTATAAAAATAAATTATGGAAATCGGCCAGCCCTGGCGCCTGTCCTGAGGTTTTGATGCAGTTTTAGTAATATAAATTATTTTACCCATAAAAACCACCAGAATATTTCGAAAAAGCATTAGATAACAAAAAAGAATGACCATTTTTATATAATTGTATTTTCTATTTGGCTTTTCATAACAGCTTTTTAAATTAGATTATCACAGTGTAAGCACTGCCTACACTGCCTACCCTGACTGCACGACATACAGCTCATGTATAGCTTATTACAGCTAGCTCAAGAATGGAATAGATTTGTGATAGACCACATAACAGCACTTTTTTTCTCATCCTTGAAAATTATTATGGCCTTTCAAGTTCTGAATTTGATTAGGTTTGAGGTACTTCTTCACACTTTTTTGTAATGTTGCTGTGGTTTGGGCAAATAACTTTGTCAAAAGCGTTAGTTGGAAATAGGTTTTAGTTGACAAGATGGTACGGATCTATTCAACCCACGCTGTCCCATTTATTTTGAAAGGCAGTAGTGACATTTTAAATGGAAATGTCACAGCCATTGATATATGTTTATTTTCCCAGAAGGTTACAACTGTTGTCTGAACCAATCCTTTATTCTCAGGTAAATTCACTTAATTAAATGTAGGGCCTTGTCAAAAGGCAACATTAACAAAGAAGACAACTCTACCCATTATTCCTTAATAGCACTCAATGGAACAATAATGGATGGGCCTATCAATCGATAGTCTGACTGACATTCATGCAGTTCCTTCTGCATATGTTGTGTGTATGGACAGCAGTTGCCCAGATTCCCTTAAGCGACAGCTATTTAGCGCCAGCGAGCTGGGAACAAAAGGCTTTAGAATAATGAGAGCACTCGTCACAGGCAGAAAATATTGCCATCTCCGTTGAATGTTTCATTCTGTCGCTCTCTCTCTCTCATCTTTCAATCAATGAGTCAGGTTTATCAGGGCAATTTAATTGCCCTTAAGCGTTTTGAAAAGATTATTCAAAATATTTAATTACTCTATGAATACCTCTCCTGGCAGGACTCAGCTGATGCTGAATAGAAGTCCATTTGAGGACTTCAAGCTATTGTCACACACACACACACACACACACACACACACACACACACACACACACACACACACACACACACACACACACACACACACACACACACACACACACACACACACACACACACACACACACACACACACACACACACACACACAACCCTGCTGCATACTGTACATATCCAATGTACCAGACAATGAATATTGGTAATACACTGATGCAATTTCAATGCTAAAGTTTAGGCCTACACTTGATCACAAAAAGTTGCTGATGCTAACACTTAACACTGGGATTTGAGGAACAGTTTCAAATAAATAAATAAATATTCTCCCATTTATGTGATCATCTAGAGAGTAATTGAATCCCCTTAAAGCCCTTTCCTATGTCCCTGTCCAGATGTAAAGCTGTTGGAGAATCAAGCGTTTGTGGAGAGTGTTCAGGAGCAGGTGAATGGGGCTCTGCTGGAGTACACTCTGTGCACCTACCCCTTGTACCTGGACAAGTTCAGCCAGCTGGTGCTGCGTCTGCCAGAGCTGCGAGCCCTCAGCACCCAGGCAGAGGACTACCTGTGCTACAAACACCTGAGTGGGGAGGTGCCCTGCAACAACCTGCTCATCGAGATGCTGCATGCCAAGAGGGCCTGTGTATGAGCACTACGCTAACCACCACTATACACCAGCAGACTGTCTGTGGGACTGACGCTGTGGAAGCGAAAGAGGGGGTTTACGATTACAGCTGAGAGAGAATGATGTGTGTGTTTGTGTTTGTGTGTGCATGCGTGCGTGAGCAGCCCCTCTGTCCCAGGTGTGTGTAAACAGAATATGGACTTGTTTTGGCAGTTCTTTAAATGTACATAGTTATCAAATTTACAAAGCAAGCTTTATTATGATACTGTATGTAAATGTAACTTTTACCTTTTGTTGAATGCAGCAGAGTGTAGTCTTATATCAGAGCTAGTGGAGATATTTCAGATTCTTCAGATGAAAGAGGCACTATAACACACGTCATTCAGACTTGTCCTAGCCTTTCAAATATAGTGTAAACACTATATTTATTTGAGCACTTGTTCCTTTGTAAATTGTCACCAACTTTACCACATAAAATTGTTGTGTGAAAAATAGGTTATGTTCAATATAGTTTTTTTCTATTAGATATTGATATTCTAATATATTAACTACACGTGTTTACAAGAATCACATAAGCACACTCATATTCAGTTTAACCCTAAAATCGATGTCCGCGCCCCCGTGGAAATCTAATTAGCATAATACAAAGATCCACATACAAATCTGTCAGTTTAAGCTAGAGATATCTGTTTTTTATCTGCACTTCCGCATCTGCGGTGAAAGGTGACAGAGCTAGAGCGGTGTTTGTCAGACCATGAGACATCCAGAAAATCGGTCTTCTCACAAAATCACCTGTAGCGTCCAAACGTTTTGGCCTACAAAACTAATATGATTCCTCTATGGAAAGACGAGACTCACGAACACGATGGTGTTGTCCGTTTTGCTCTATGACCCCCACAAGCGTCTTGGGACTCGTCTGAATTCAGTACAGCCGATCTGCCAACCTCTGTCTGTAGCGTCTGAACAGTTTGGGCTGCACACTAATGTGTCTCTCACAAACACATACATGTCGGTTGGTCTGCTCTAGGACACCCACAGGCCTTACAAGACTCGTCTGAAGGTCCCCCGGTACCTGTTGAAATGAATGGAAGTAAATATGGAGACTGTTTAGTGCCAAAAATAAGGGGTTAAATACATGTAAGAAAAACAAACAATATGTTTCCTGATCTTTATTATCTCTCAGATATAGGACAGAGATGTCAGAACAAACTTCCTTTAGATTTTTTGGGGGGACTGTCTGTTGTTCCATGTAGTGAATCTGTTATTAAATGCATTTATACGGGCTAATAGCAGTAAAGCCCCCCCAAAAAATTCATCTAATTTTTTAAACATATTTTTGGGGGATACTTCAAAGGGTCTTTAAATTCAAAATCAAATAGCTAAATTATCGTTGGTATGACCTTCTTAAAACAATTCCATATAGCTTAGTAGAACCCCTGGCTTAGACAGAGCTTAGACTGTAAAGGGTTAATGACAGTCTGTTACTCCAATGAGATATTTGCTTAAAATGATAGAAAGAGAGAGAGAAACAGTGGAGCGGGAAAATGTGGCGCTGATGTGTGGGAGAGAATGAAAGGAAGCCATCTTCGGCTGCGGCCATTTCTTATTAAGAGATGAATGGAGGAGGGCCCCAGAAAGAGAAGCCCACATGTGTGGCCAGAAAAATGAACAACATAGAAAGCAATCTCTTATTAAGTAGACATGTTAAAAATTAAGCTTTATGGTATAAGTCCTCCAGCCTCTTACCAAAGAGCTGTCTACCCTGGCAACAGAGCCAGGTCAAGGATAGGGGGTCGTGCACAGTGGATGTGCTCCAGTCCCTTTGTAGTCACAGAATGAATGAAAACATGCAATTGGCAATGTATGCAATGTTTGCTTTTCTAGGTAAATGTGAAGGAGATCTAGGGAAATCCAATTGTATTGAAGTGTAAAGAGAAAATAGACCAATCGTACTTGAGAAATGGCAGATGAAGCGCAAAACAACAAGTATCAGGATTGCAAGGAATGAGGAACAACATCAACAACCACAGTAACAACATGTAACGCACATATCTGTTGCGTAATTTCAGCACATAGTGAAGCAACATGTTTGAATTGTTCCCTCATACAGACATGGCAGGGTTGGCTCTTTTAACTTCTTCTAGACAATCATAACACTTGCCTTAAGATAACCCTGGCCTGTCTATCTGTGAATATATGGACCATGGTTTTGTAACTGATATGCGTGTCATCTGTGCGTCTCCGCTGTAGTACATTTCAATTTTGAAACATGAGAAGATTAACACAGTGAGCTATACCAAGCTCAGATGTTTCAACACACAGACTTTTCTATTTGTAATTGGTTCTCTTGATGTTGCTTTTGCTTCTATTGGGTTTCACCTTATTATGTGAGGTCCCAGTCTTGGTTGTTTTGGTGATGAGATCTGTTTAAGTCCTCATTCTCAAACTGTCTTTGATGGTCCACTTTGTTACCTCTCTCAGCAATTTGAATGCTTTTCAAACAGAAACAATCAAAACATTTGTGTTTTCTTGAAATATATTTTATTGTAATAGCATCAAACCAATAAATACAATTAAGTAAAGCTCTACCTATGTGTTGTCCATTTCTACTGAACCATCCCGCTATTGTTCAATGACCATGGGGGTCGAATATACATAATACATTATTTTCAAATACTCGGGAGGCTATCCAGGATAGTGGTAGCAATTTATGAGTCATGACAACGTAATTCGTAGTAATGTGAAAGTCTGTGGTTTGTGGCTGATAAGTCAGTGCTACTTCACAAATACATGTGTAAATGTACATTTCAGCCAATGACTTCAAATGGCACAAAGATTGGAGGTCATTAACAGTAATTAAACAATACATTTGAGGAACAAAGTATAAGGGCTTTTTCAGACAAATCTTACAATGTATTGTCATGAAACAGATTAACTAGCCTGCTAATACTGTTGCACTCGCTAAGTCTAGGGGTCTTCGGTCTAGTCAACTGGTCTTTAACCTAATTTAAGATGCGCATCTACAGTGGGGAAAAAAAGTATTTAGTCAGCCACCAATTGTGCAAGTTCTCCCACTTAAAAAGATGAGAGAGGCCTGTAATATTCATCATAGGTACACGTCAACTATGACAGACAAATTGATTTTTAATGAATTTATTAGCAAATTATGGTGGAAAATAAGTATTTGGTCACCTACAAACAAGCAAGATTTCTGGCTCTCACAGACCTGTAACTTCTTCTTTAAGAGGCTCCTCTGTCCTCCACTCGTTACCTGTATTAATGGCACCTGTTTGAACTTGTTATCAGTATAAAAGACACCTGTCCACAACCTCAAACAGTCACACTCCAAACTCCACTATGGCCAAGACCAAAGAGCTGTCAAAGGACACCAGAAACAAAACTGTAGACCTGCACCAGGCTGGGAAGACTGAATCTGCAATAGGTAAGCAGCTTGGTTTGAAGAAATCAACTGTGGGAGCAATTATTAGGAAATGGAAGACATACAAGACCACTGATAATCTCCCTCGATCTGGGGCTCCACGCAAGATCTCACCCCGTGGGGTCAAAATGATCACAAGAACGGTGAGCAAAAATCCCAGAACCACACGGGGGGACCTAGTGAATGACCTGCAGAAAGCTGGGACCAAAGTAACAAAGCCTACCATCAGTAACACACTACGCCGCCAGGGACTCAAATCCTGCAGTGCCAGACGTGTCCCCCTGCTTAAGCCAGTACATGTCCAGGCCCGTCTGAAGTTTGCTAGAGTGCATTTGGATGATCCAGAAGAGGATTGGGAGAATGTCATATGGTCAGATGAAACCAAAATAGAACTTTTTGTTAAAAACTCAACTCGTCGTGTTTGGAGGACAAAGAATGCTGAGTTGCATCCAAAGTGGCTGGGTCTTTCAGCATGACAATGATCCCAAACACACCGCCCGGGCAACGAAGGAGTGGCTTCGTAAGAAGCATTTCAAGGTCCTGGAGTGGCCTAGCCACTCAACCCCATAGAAAATCTTTGGAGGGAGTTGAAAGTCCGTGTTGCCCAGCGACAGCCCCAAAACATCACTGCTCTAGAGGAGATCTGCATGGAGGAATGGGCCAAAATACCAGCAATAGTGTGTGAAAACCTTGTGAAGACTTACAGAAAACGTTTGATCTGTGTCATTGCCAACAAAGGGTATATAACAAAGTCTTGAGAAACTTTAGTTATTGACCAAATACTTATTTTCCACCATAAAAATCCTACAATGTGATTTTCTGGAATTTTTTTCTCATTTTGTCTGTCATAGTTGACGTGTACCTATGATGAAAATTACAGGCCTCTCTCATCTTTTTAAGTGGGAGAACTTGCACAATTGGTGGCTGACTAAATACTTTTTTTCCCCACTGTATGTGAGAAATCAGTGTGTGAGAACCGTGTTGTAGTACATGTACCCAGTAGACAGCAACCTTAGATCATGACCTCTTGGTCGACCCTTCCTTTTGATTGTTCAAAGGGGTGACGAAAATAAATATATACAAAAAGGAAAAAACATGGCCAAACAAAATATTCTAACCAAAGCCAAGGGCGCACATGGCTACCAAGAAAAACCAGCAGCCTCACGGCTCTGCAAGCTGGCTCACTCTTGTTTCCAATCAACACTTACTAAGGATCCACAAGACTTCCTGGCTAAGCATTTGAGCCAGGGTGCTGCTGCCCCCTGGGGATGAGGTGTGGAAGTGCGTGGTAGTGTGCTTGGTAGTGTCCCCATATCATAACAGTATGTATACAATTACATCAAACGATAATATACAGTATGTTTGCCCCAGCATATTCTTGTATTGGGACAAAACCACACTCCCTTTGGGATTTAAACTGTTTCATGCAACCATTTGAGCTATAGTGAATAATGTGTCTCAGTTCAGAGTGCACCTTCCTGTAGTGGAGATAGGGAGAAGCCAGGATTGCTACTGCTTGTTGTAAGGTAGGGGTGGCCAGGGGAGGGGAGGGGAGGGAGGAAAGGCTTGGGGAGACAGCCAAGCTGAAGCTAGAACAGCCTCAAATACACATAGTGGTTGGCTGGTGATACAGTAGGTGGACAACAGGTGATAGGCTTCATAAAGTCTCTTTATGAGCTGCCCAGACAATCCACAGTAAGTCAGCAGCATATCTCTACTATCTAATACTGTTGATCTATGAGATAATCTGTCATCAGTCTATCCATGTTCTCACACTGACAACACAATCGTGTTGTCTGGTCATATGATATTTTACAGTAGTAAAACCCTTTAATCCTAGATTAAAAGGTTTATATCCAGTTTACAGTAATAACTACTGTCTAGTTATGTCTGTAAAAACAAAAAGTACACACACACACACACACACACACACATATCATTGTAAAAAAGCCTGAAGGTGTGATCAGCCACTCTCCAACAGAGAATGAAACTGAATTCTGCCTGCACACAACAAACATTGTGTTGCCTCTCTAAAACAGCCATTTCATAAACAGCAGATGATTCCTGACCCTGGGAATGGGGAACTGTGGAGGAGGAGCTGTCCTCCCAAAAGATTCTTCCTGCATTGTGTGTGTGTGTGTGTGTTTGTGTGTGTGTGTGTGTGTGTGTGTATGTGTGTGTGCGTACATCTTTGAGTCTTTAATTCTGTATGTAGGGATATGTATGTGTGTGTGTGTGTGTATGTGTGTGTGTGTGTGTGTGTGTGTGTGTGTGTATGTGTGCAGCATTTGAGTGTGTGTCTATTTAGACCCCTTCCCTTTCTCCACATTTTGTAACGTTACAGCTTTATTCTAAAATGGATTAAATAATTGTTTTCCCTCAACAATCTACACACAATACCCCATAATGACAAAGCGAAAACAGGTTTTTAGAAAGTTTTGCAAATTTATAAAAACATAAAATGCAAAAATACCTTATTTACATACGTTTTCAGACCCTTTGCTATGAGACTCGAAATTGAGCTCAGGTGCGTCCTGTTTCCATTGATCATCCTTGAGATGTTTCTACTACTTTATTGGAGTCCACCTGTGGTAAATTCAACTGATTGGACATGATTTGGAAAGGCACACACCTGTCTATATAAGGTCCCACAGTTGACAGTGCATGTCAGAGCAAAACCAAGCCATGAGGTCGAAGGACTTGTTCGTAGAGCTCCGAGACAGGATTGTGTCGAGGCACAGATCTGGGGAAGGGTAGCAAAACAATTCTGCTGCATAAAAGGTCCCCAAGAACACAGCAGCCTCCATCATTCTTTAATGGAAGACGTTTGGAACCACCAAGACTCTTCCTAGAGCTGGCCGCCTGGCCAAACTGAGCAATCGGGGGAGAAGGGCCTTGGTCAGGGAGGTGACCAAGAACCTGATGGTCACTCTGACAGAACTGCAGAGTTCCTCTGTGGAGATGGGAGAACCTTCCAGAAGGATAACCATCTCTGCAGCACTCTACCAATCAGGCCTTTATGGTAGAGTGGCCAGACGGAAGCCATTCCTCAGTAAAAGGCACATGACAGCTCGCTTGGAGTTTGCCAAAAGGCCCCTAATGGACTCTCAGACCATGAGAAAAAAGATTCTCTGGTCTGATGATACCAAGATTTAACTATTTGGCCTGAATGCCAAGTGTCACGTCTGGAGGAAACTTGGCACCATCCCTACGGTGGAGCATGGTGGTGGCAGCATCATGCTGTGGGGATGTTTTTCAGCGGCAAGGACTGGGAGACTTGTCAGGATCGAGGGAAATATGAACGGAGCAAAGTACAGAGTGATCCTTGATGAAAACTTGCTCCAGAGTGCTCAGGACCTCAGACTGGGGTGAAGGTTCACCTTCCAACAGGACAACAACCCTAAGCACACAGCCAAGACAACACAGGAGTGGCTTCGGGTTCAAGTCCAGCCAAAGCCCGATTGAACATCTCTGGAGAGACCTGAAAATAGCTGTGCAGTGACGCTCCCCATCCAACCTGACAGAGCTTGAGAGGATCTGCAGAGAAGAATGGGAGAAACTCCCCAAATACACGTGTGCCAAGCTTGTAGCGTCATAACCAAGAAGACTCAAGGCTGTAATCATTGCCAAAGGTGCTTCAACAAAGTACTGAGTAAAGGGTCTGAATACTTATATATATATATATATATATATATATATATATATATTTTTTTTTTATATACATTTGCACAAATTTCTAAAAACAATTTTTTGCTTCGTCATTATGGGGTATTGTGTGTAGATTGATGAGGGGAAAAAACAATTTAATTAATTTTAGAATAAGGCTGTAACGTAACAAAATGTGGAAAAAGTAAAGGGGTCTGAATACTTTCCTAATGCACTGTATGTGTATGAGAGTAGATTCATCTATTGTGTGTATCTGTTTGCGATATTTACTGTCCAATTCCGCTTTCTTCCCACCAGTTTATATGATACATGTGCCTTTGTATCCAATTCCATCAGCAGCCTGTAGTAACAGAAAAGTAACAAAATATTTATTATTCTATCAACATATTATTTCTGTTCAATATAATAGATTTTCCCTTCTTTGCAAAAAAGGAAACTACACAGAATGTCTATAAATGGTTGAATCCTTACAGACTAGACCTCGAAAAACCTTCAGTTTTGCCCCAACACAGAACCTCTTGGTGGATTGAATGGGTCTGTCTGTGTGTGTGTGTGTGCTTACGTGCGTGCGTATGTGTGTGTGGGTGCGGGTGACAGTCCCTCTGTGGGAGCAGGTGTTTGAGTGGATGATCGGCGGTAGTCTGATTGTCTAACTAATGAAGAAAATGAGGTTTCCTAATGTTCTGAGAAACAGAAAGAACAGATAAAACTTTCAGCCTTTCTTATGATTAGACACATGGTTAAGTGACCTGGCCCACTTCAACAAGCCAAAGAGAACTGCCCATATGTTTACATAACTCACACCTGATGTTATTACATGTAGTGAAAATAAATATACTAACTGAAGGGGATTGAATTATGATGAAATTGTCAGCAGACAATGTAGCCTGGTTCCTTACTCTATGTGTGCCAGCCACATTATCGTTAATAAACCAAGATAAATAACCCTAGAGTCGATTGGCACACCGATGTGTCAATCTAAGTAACATAATAAAAAAATCCCCATCCCTATCTGTTTTTTTGCATTGGCTGCGTCTCAATCCACCGCATCCTGAAGGTAACCGGTACTGGCTTAAAAAAATTAATGGAAGTATGAAGGTAGTTTTGTGCCTACCCAAATTAAGGGTTAAATATGTGTAATATATATTTATATATATATATATATATATATATATATATATATTATATATATATATATATATATATTTCCCGACCGTTCTTATATCTCAGAGATATACACTTCAAAACCTTGTTTGTTATGATTCATTTTTTGACTGTCTTTTTTCCCCCATTTATGAATGTGTTATTCAATGCGTTTCTCTGGGCTATAGTAGTAAAGGCCAAATTCAATTATTTATCAAATCATTTTTTGTATATATTTTTGTAATACCTAAAGGGGTCCTAAAATTCTAAATCAAATAGCTAAATGATCCATAGTATAAGCATCTTAAAACAATTCCATATGTCAGCTTAGACCCCCCCCCCCCAAACTGCTTAGACTTTTTAGAATTTTAAAGTCAGATTCACTGTCAAGGAAATTGTGAAATTACCTGAGGGCTTGAAAGCAGTCAGTTGAACCACCTGGTAAAGTAGAACAGACATGTTGATGTGTTGGAGATGGAGCAGAATTCTCAAATACACAATAACCATTTAGGAGTGATAGTAGGCTTAATAAGTGGATATGGCCTCTTTAGATGCATAATACCAAACATACCTGGTTTCCTGATGCTGGTTTCAAGGAGAAGCTCACAAAACGACTTTCTTTTCCAAAACTCTCTGAAAGACAAAAAGGTAAAATCCCACCAGTTATTCACCTGGTATTAATGGCATTCATGTCAGGTGGTGTAGAACACCTAAGTGTAATATCCAGACTGCATGACTCTACTAAACCCCTTGTACCACAACCCACCACTACCCAATCCTAACCCAACCCAACCTACCCAAACCCAGCTAACCTGACCAACCCACCACAGCCCATGCCTCACTCCAGCCCCAGGCCCACCCACCCTATTCTGCCTCTCCTACCGTTCTTGATGACCAGTGAGGTGGAGGTGGTGCTGCCGGGGCCTGAGTTCTCGCTGGTCTCTGGGCTGGAGGGACGGGGCAGACTGTGGGTCCACGACTGGGCCGGACCCCTCTGGGACGGCAGGAAGCTGATTGGCTGGGAACAGTTCTACAACCAATAAGAATGTGTTGAGCTGTTTAGATGAGGCTGTCTGATTGTGTATTCAAGCATGTGCATACTGAATTAGCATAATGTTTTTCTCCAGTTTGAACATAATACAAATGTTAGTAAGGATGTCGCTGTATGCTTTTTGGCTCACCGTGAAAGACAAGGCTTTCCTCTTCTCTTTGATCCTCTTTATGGCATTCCTCACCTTTAAGAAAAGCAGACAGCACCCTCAATAGCTTGTACACCCACTGACGTACTTGGCAGTGTCAAGTGGTTGGCATGCCACAGATGGACAACTACATTCTGAGAGAAAGAACTCCCGCTGAAAGAGTTCTTTGAAAACCTACCTCACTGTTGTAAACCGCATACACCAAGAATATGTACAGGCCCTGCAGAAAGGGAAGGACAGAAGACCATAAGATATTACCCATGGCTGTAGACTACCTACAATATGTGCTTTATCCTGGCTTTAGTGAGTTAGACAACTTGTTGATGAGGCTGTGTGGATAGTAGTTCCTGACTCTATGATGATGACCAACTTCTTCCTGCTTGGTGAGAACAGTGGGTTGTTTCTATAAGTATATTCTCTGCTCTGAGGGAGACTGAGGTTTATCTCCTCTCTCCTCTCTTCTGGATGAAACCTCAGTCAATCTAAATTAACTAGCAGCTCTTTGAGGGGTACTCCGGGGCCAGCGGCCAGCTCATTCACATTAATTAACAACCATGCTGGAAGCTCCTGAGAGAAAGAGAGAGAGAGAAAGCCAGGAACAGAGAGAGAGAGGGAGAGATAGCGAAAGACAGAGAGAGAGGCAGAGAGAGAGAGGAATAGAGGGGAAGTCCAGAGTACCTCCAGCTGATTTACAGGTCTTATCAGGGGTGTGATGGGAAGGGAGGTGGAGGTATATCTGGCGATGGGTCAGCCTGGAGAGCCCGGGAGCCCTGCCATGACCTGTCCTTCAAAGGCCCAGTCTGAGCCACCCTCTCCCCCACACACGTGCATGCATGCACACACACACAAACGCACACACACGCACACACACAAGCACGCCACACCACACACACCGCTCCACTGGACCTGTTGCAGCCCACCTCTGCTTATCTACAGCAGGCCCACCTTCCTCCACTCTTCGTCTCTCTCACCCTCAGTTTCTCTTGAAACCATTACATACAATGATCCTTCGATGGGTGGCTTTGCTCACCTGAAAAGCATTGAGAGCGATGAAGACATACGCCACCACCATGGAGAGGTGCACCAGGACTCCACACAGCCAGGTCAGGCCCAGCACTGGCAGTAGAATAAGGACTGGTCGTGTCACAGCCCTACAGAAGTCAGACTGTCAGGATAGTAAAAACACCCACACTCACGCACCAACCCACATGAACACGCACACTGATGTACGCAAACCTGCATGCTTATATTAAGTGAACATCCTGCATAACTGCATGCAATTAAATGATTTGGCAAAGCTATACTTGATTTGACTGGATTCAATTTAAATTCAGTTTAAGTTTTTCAAAATGTCACATTATTATGTTAAGATTATATACACTGACTGTATAAAACATTAGGAACACCTGCTCTTTCCATGACAGACTGACCAGGTGAATCCAGGTGAAAGCTATGATCCCTTATTGATGTCACTTGTTAATTCACTTCAATCACTGTAGATGAAGGGGAGGAGACAGGTTAAAGAAGGATTTTGAAGCCTTGAGACAATTGAGACATGGATTGTGCATGTGTGCCATTCAGAGGCTGAATCGGCAAGACAAAATATTTAATTGCCTTTGAACGGGATATAGTAGTAGGTGCCAAGCGTAGTAGGTGCCAAGCGCACTGGTTTGAGTGTGTCAAGAACTGCAATGCTGCTGGGTTTTTCACACTCAACAGTTTCCCATGTGTATCAAGAATGGTCCACCACCCAAAGGACATCCTGCCAAATTGGCAAGCTGTGGGAAGCATTGTAGTCAACATGGGCCAGCATCCCTGTAGAAGACTTTCGACACCTTGTACAGTCCATGCCGCAACGAATTGAGGCTGTTCTGAGGGCCATTAGGGGTTACAACTCAATATTAGTAAGTTGTTCCTAATGTTTTGTACACTCACTGTATATGCTCTGTGTCTCTGATTTGGAAGTTTGGACTTTAAATGTTTTTCCCCCCTCCATAAATTCCTCTCAAGGAGTGTAGCAGCCATTTCGGCCCGCTTAAAGGACAGGTTCACTTTTTTTTTTAACCAAATCTGTATTTTGGAATTAAAGGTCATGTTATAGTGTCCAGATAAATATTTTTGTGATTTGGCTGTTTTTGGAGCCTTTGTTCATGTTTTATCTGTGCCCCTGCAACTGCAAAACGAGCATGAGACAGTCTATCGCTGGCGGGTTAAGTTTCTCAAAACCATTGAAATTGCAAAAAAGTGTCTGGACAACGTCACAAAAACGATGCGTGCACTTCAATGGGGCAGAAGGATGTGTGTTGTTGGGATTCTGGATGACCAGATAGCTAGCAACCATGACAAGACGCTGCAATGTGGGGAATCGTAGGTGTCTCTTTTCAGCTAGTTTTATCTTGTTCTTGATACCATGTATTGTTTTGAGGTGTTTTGACTGATGTCACATCTATGCTAATATGGCTCAAATTCGCTTACTAGTTAACCAACAACTGTAACGATGTATTTGATAGACAACAAGTGCTCATTGTAATATTTGTATGTTTTGTTGGAGACAAAATATAGTTTACATGTTGTCAACAATCTAAGCCAGCAATGTATGTTTTGCCCCATCGTTGCGCACGCTTCGGTTTTGTTACTAAACAACCAACCCGTCTATAACATACCATTTACATCCAAAATACAGATTTGGTGAAAAAAAAGTGAACCTGTCCTTTAGTGTCAAAAGTAATACAACAAAAAGCGTAATACACAGAGGACCTTCGATGGCAGTGGAGCAAAAACATGAAATAGTTACTCCTTGGATTCCCATCATGTTTTCATCCTCACAAAGGTTCACAGGGCACTGCAGTCGTGCTCTTCATTCTTTACAATCATCCGTTTCATCTGCTATGTGCTTATACGTGAAATAACATTACGGTTATTTGTTCAAACTTCTATTGCTGTCCTCTTGCTGCACCTGGGCCAGGAGATTGAGTTCACACTGAACTATGTCTACAAGGACAAAGTGAGTAGTTCCTCTTCTTCCTTTGCTTTTCTTTTCAATTTAGTCTTCTTTCTAATCTTGTGACGTCATCACATTCTTACAGGGAACAGATAGACTGCGGAGGGGGCAAAGATGACTTGCTTACTCCTTCACTCTTTTTACGAGCAAATGAACAGGTGATGAATGAGAAGAAAAATAGCATTTCAGAAATCTAGTATGAAATAGGGTCTTGGCGTTCATAGATCAGCAGTGTGTACAATATACATGTATTTGTCTTGTCTCTACAGTCGTGGTCAAAGGTTTTGAGAATGACACAAGCATTGGTCTTCACAAAGTTTGCTGCTTCAGTGTTTTTAGATATTTTTGTCAGATGTTACTATGGTATACTGAAGTATAATTACAAGCATTCCGTAAGTGTCAAAGGCTTTTATTGACAATTACATTAAGTTTATGCAAAGAGTCAATAATTGCAGTGTTAACCCTTCTTTTTCAAGACCTCTGCAATCCGCCCTGGCATGCTGTCAATTAACTTCTGGGCCACATCCTGACTGATGGCATCCCATTTTTGAATAATCAATGCTTGGAGTTTGTCAGAATTTGTGGGTTTTTGTTTGTCCACCCGCCTCTTGAGGATTAACCACACGTTCTCAATGGGATTAAGGTCTGTGGAGTTTCCTGGCCATGGCCATGTTTTGTTCCCCGAGCCACATAGTTATCGCTTTTGCCTTATGGCAAGGTGCTCCATCATGCTGGAAAAGGCATCGTTCGTCACCAAACTGCTCTTGGATTGTTGGGAGAAGTTGCTCTCGGAGGATGTGTCGGAAACCATTCTTTATTCATGGCTGTGTTCTTAGGCAAACTTGTGAGTGAGCCCACTCCCTTGGCTGAGAAGCAACCCCACACATGAATGGTCTCAGGATGCTTTACTGTTGGCATGACACAGGACTGATGGTAGCGCTCACCTTGTCTTCTCCGGACAAGCACCACCCTCCTTTTAAAGCTTCCAGTCTGTTATTCTAACTCAATCAGCATGACAGAGTGATCTCCAGCCTTGTCCTCGTCAACACTCTCACCTGTGTTAATGAGGGAATCACTGATATGATGTCAGCTGGTCCTTTTGTGGCAGGGCTGAAATGCAGTGGAAATGTTTTTTGGGGGATTAAGTTCATTTTCATGGCAAAGAGGGACTTTGCAATTAATTGCAATTCATCTGATCACTCTTCATAACATTCTGGAGTATATGCAAATTGCCATCATAAAAACTGAGGCAGCAGACTTTGTGAAAATTAATATTTGTGTCATTCTCAAAACTTTTGACCACGACTGTACACGTAGGCAGCTATGTCGCTATATGAGTATAGCATGTTGCGAACCTTTCCATATTGTTGGGACAGGACTGAACACTAGGCTCTGGTCCCCGTTTAGAGTCCACATTAAGCAGACAATGAGCTCAGTGAAAAGAACACAGACCAACAGACACCCACCCAGACAGTCTCTCTCTCTCTCTCTCTCTCTCTCTCTCTCTCTCTCTCTCTCTCTCTCTCTCTCTCTCTCTCTTCTCTCTCTCTCTCTCTCTCTCTATCTCTTTCTCTCTGACCAGGTGGTAGGCTGATAAGACACACAACTCCCACTACTTCAAACTCAAACTACCTCATTCTCACACAGTCACTGTCTCTCTGCTCGAATCTGTTCAGTTTGTCTGTGTGGATCTGTCACCTGTGGATTTGAAAACGTCCTATTCTATTGAGCTTCAAATTAAACATATTCTGACTCAGCCCTCAACACACATTTAGCTCATTATATCTCACACATATAAAGCAGACCATGAAAAGCCACCAAGGGTTGGATGTTGGGGTCGAGTCACAGGCACGTGACACGTGTGTTTGTGAGTGAGAGAGCAGGAGAGTCAGGGAAAGAGAGGATGAGTGAGTGGATGAGAGAGAGGATGAGAGAGCGTATGGGAGAGTGGATGAGAGTGTCGATGAGAGAGTGGATGAGAGAGAGAGAGAAACAGATAGAGAAACAGAGAGAGAGAGAAAGAGAGAGAGACAGGGACAGATATACACTACATGGCCAGATATATGTGGACACCCCTTTACTACCTACAATATGTGCTTTATCCTGGCTTTAGTGAGTTAGCCAACTTGTTGATGAGGCTGTGTGGATAGTAGTTCCTGATTGTATGATGATGACCAACTTCTTCCTGCTTGGTGAGAACAGTGGGTTGTTTCTATAAGTATATTCTCTGCTCTGAGGAAGACTGAGGTTGATATCTTCTCCCCTCTCTTCTGGATGAAACCTCAGTAAATCTAAATTAACTAGCAGCTCTTTGAGGGGTACTCCGGAGCCAGCGGTCAGCTCATTCACATTAATTAACAACCATACTGGAAGCTCCTGAGAGAAAGAGAGAGAGAGAAAGCCAGGAACACAGAGAGAGAGAGGGAGAGATAGCGAGAGAGATATATAGAGAGAGAAAAAGAGAGAAACAGAGAGAGAGAAAGAGAGAGAGACAAGGAAATATATGCACAAATGTATTTGGACACCCCTTCACATGAGTGGATGTAGCTATTTCAGCCACACCAGTTGCTGAATGGCCCATACTGAAGAGCTCAGTGACTTTCAGTGTGGCACCATCATAGGATGCCACCTTTCCAACTAGAGCTGCCCTGGTTAACTGTAAGTGCTGTTATTGTGAAGTGGAAACGTCTAGGAGCAACAACAGTTCAGCCGCGAAGTGGTAGGCCACATAAGCTCACAGAATGGGACAGCCAAGTGCTGAAGCGCGTAACGTGTAAAAATCGTCTGTCCTCGGTTTCAACACTCACTACCGAATTCCAAACTGCCTCTGGAAGCAACGTCAGCACAAGAACTGTTTGTAGGGGGCTTCATGAAATGGGTTTCCATGGCCGAGCAGCCACACACAAGCCTAAGATCACCATACGCAATGCCAAGTGTCGTCTGGAGCGATTAATCACTCTTCACCATCTAGCAGTCCGACGGACTAATCTGGGTTTGGAGGATGCCAGGAAAACGCTACCTGTCCCAAAGCATAGTGCCAACTGTAAAGTTTGTTGGAAGAGGAATAATGGTCTGAGACTGTTTTTCATGGTTGGGGCTTGGACCGTTAGTTTCCAGTGAAGGGAAATCTTAACGCTACAGTATACAATGACATTCTAGACGATTCTGTGCTTCCAACTTTGTTTGGGGAAGGCAAGCCCCCGCAGCAATGTTCCAACATCTAGTGGAAAGCCTTCCCAGAAGAGCGGAGGCTGTTATAGCAGCAAAGGGGGGACCAACTCCATATTAATGGCCATGATTTTGGAATTAGATGTTTGACGAGCACGTGTCCACATACTTTTGGCAATGTAGTGTATATATATAGTTAAAGTCAGAAGTTTACATACACCTTAGCCAAATACATTTAAACTCAGTTTTTCACAATTCCTGAAATTTAATCCTAGTAAAAATTCCCTGTCTTAGGTCAGTTAGGATCACCACTTTATTTTAAGAAGTGAAATGTCAGAATAATAGTAGAGTGAATGATTTATTTCAGATTTGATTTCTTTCATCACATTCCCAGTGGGTCAGAAGTTTACATACACTCAATTAGTATTTGGTAGCATTGCCTTTAAATTGTTTAACTTGGGTCAAACGTTTTGGGTAGCCTTCCACAAGCTTCCCACAATACGTTGGGTGAATTTTTGCCCATTCCTCCTGACAGAGCTGGTGTAACTGAGTCAGGTTTGTAGGCCTCCTTGCTCGCACATGCCTTTTCACTTTTCTGCCCACACATTTTCTATAGGATTGAGGTCAGGGCTTTGTGATGGCCACTCCAATACCTTGACTTTGTTGTCCTTAAGCCATTTTGCAACAACTTTGGAAGTATGCTTGGGGTCATTGTCCATTTGGAAGACCCATTTGCGACCAAGCTTTAACTTCCTGACTGATGTCTTGAGATGTTGCATCAATATATCCACATAATTTTCCTTCCTCATGATGCCATCTATTTTGTGAAGTGCACCAGTCCCTCCTGCAGCAACGCACCCCCACAGCATGATGCTGCCATCCCCGTGCTTCACGGTTGGGATGGTGTTTTTCGGCATGCAAGCGGCCCCCTTTTTCCTCCAATCATAACGATGGTCATTATGGCCAAACAGTTCTATTTTTGTTTCATCAGACCCAAAGACATTTCTCCAAAAAGTACGATCTTTGTCCCCATGTGCAGTTGCAAACCGTAGTCTGCCTTTTTTTATGACGGTTTTGTAGCAGTGGCTTCTTCCTTGCTGAGCGGCCTTTCAGGTTATGTCGATATAGGACTCGTTTTACTGTGCATATAGATACATCTTCACAAGGTCCTTTGCTGTTGTTCTGGGATTGATTTGCACTTTTCGCACCAAAGTACGTTCATCTCTAGGAGACAGAACGCGTCTCCTCCTGCCTTGAAATACATCCACATGTACACCTCCAATTGACTAAAATTATATCAATTAGCCTATCAGAAGCTTCTAAATCTATGACATAATTTTCTGGAATTTTCCAAGCTGTTTAAAGGCACAGTCAACTTAGTGTGTGTAAACTTCTGACCCACTGGAATTGTGATACAGTGAATTATAAGTTAAATAATCTGTCTGTTAACAATTGTTGGAAAAATTACTTGTGTCATGCACAAAGTAGATGTCCTAACCGACTTGCCAAAACTATAGTTTGTTAACAAGAAATTTGTGGAGTGGTTGAAAGTTTGAATGACTCCAACCTAAGTGTATGTAAACTTCCGACTTCAACTGTATATATATATATAGAGAGAGAGAATGGGCTATAGTGTGGTGACTCACCAGGTCAGGTCAAAGGTGTGGAGTTTAGATGCTGAACTGGGAGTGTGCTTCTTTGCTTGACGACGAGCGCTGGACACTGTCACCATGACAACCCGGCACAGCACCACTGCATTGACCTAGGAGTACACAAAGTCTCAGAACAACCGATGGACATGCCATATTTTTGCATAATGACACGTGTATGACACATTAGTAAACATCACATGCAAGCACACACACACAGAAACGCAAGCGCACACACACACACACACACACACACACACACACACACGCATGCAATCAAGCAAAGCCAATAAGTGAAGTGAAGCTACATACGACCAAGATTAACAGAACAGGTCCCACAAAGGCCCAAATCATATCAGTCTCCACATTGAGCCAGCAGTGACTGTCTGCTTTGTACTTGTCCAGGGATATCGTCAAGGTTACACCAACAACCACAACAGGCAGACCTGCAAAAATAACACAATATTTTTTGCTTTTAATTCACCAGGTCTCTTATATTCATACAACACATGAATATCTTTAGTGAAGAGAGTTTACATTGCTGTGGTACAGGACCAGGAACTGCAGTAGGCACCAACTGTCCATTCACCAGCCATTCTATTTAGTCTGAACAAAGTGAAAACCTCAGACAGCTGGCCGATATATCTGGGCATCTTATAAAACATCATCATGAGTGTGTTTAGCTTTTTGAATGCACACACTCTTCGAATGAACACAACCTTTGGTCTAGATGAGTTGCGTTCCAGACAGCACTGTGTTCTTACCAAACAATACTGCTATGTACTATAGAGTATAGGACAGGATCTTATGTGAGTGGATGAGTCCTGTGTGGAATGTATGGGAACATTGTACAGTATCATTAATAATAAGTAGTGATGTGTGATTCTGCAGGGTATTTTACCCCAGCCGATGCCGTAGTACATCTTCATCCTGCGGTCCTCGCTGATGTTGACGGACACCACCTTACTCCACAGCAGTAGCCCCTCCACCAGCATCCAGGAGAAGGAGGCCATGAAGAAGAGGTGCAGCAAGGCCGTCACCAGAAGACATGCCCCCTAGTGGACAGGAGGGACATGGCATTGACATGGTTACTGTCACCATAGATACTTGTCCACTAGTTACTCTTACATGGTGACACAAGTTCAAAAAACAATAGAAAGTAACGCACATATAGTACTTTAGTCCAGAGAAGAGAATGGAGTCCTATCATGCATTCAACGACAGAAGCAGCTAAAAGCCTACAGACTCCTGGATCACTGACAAAACTGACCCTATGCCCTCCTCTGGTCCATAGTACCCATAACCACAGACAGAGAGTGAGATGTTTAAAGACAGACACAGCCATGTAAAGAGTCCAACCTCATTAGCAGAGGCCCAGTCACTGCACATCAGCAGCAGCTCAGCTATCCCCAGAGCCACGATCAGGTTCTTATGGACAGTGGTGCGGTCAGACTTAGGAACTCTGCCCCCACACCACACCAGGCCAGACAGGGGAGAGGGACACAGAGAGATGATCAAGGTCAGACCAACACACAGACAAACTGACTGTGAGTCAGTCATCATACAGTCATAGAAAACACAGCAGCAATTTGTCTGCTCAGCATGGTAAAGAGAAGTGATGTACAGACAGAGTGAATCATTCAAACAGACAGATGTATTGTACAAGCTAGTAGATTCATCGCTGGAGCAGGGCACCACTCACCCCACAGCGAAGAAGAGGATGAAGGTGAAGAGTAGGCCACACAGAGACACTCCACAGCCAATGAACGTCATCACCTGGAGGGCTCTCTCATTCTCTGGACTCCTCTGTCACACAGACACACATGAGTAGGTATCAGAGATTATAAACTGGGTGGTTCGAGCCCTGAATGCTGATTGGCTGACAGCTGTGGTATATCAGACCGTATACCACGGGTTATGACAAAACCATTTATTTTTACTGTTCTAATTACGTTGGTAACCAGCAGTGGTGGAAAACGTACCCAATTGTCATACTTGAGTAAAAGTATAAATACTTTAATAGCAAGGTACTCAAGTAAAAGTGAAAGTCATCCAGTAAAATACTACTTGAGTAAAAGTCTAGTTTGGTTCTAAATATACTTAAGTATGAAAAGTAAATGTAATTGCTAAAATATACTTAAGTATCAAAAGTTAAAGTAAAAGTATAAACCATTTCAAATTCCTTATATTAAGCAAAGCAGATGGCACCATTTTCTTGTTTTGAAAATGTACGGATAGTCAGGGGCACACTCCAACATCATTTACAAATGATGAATTTGTGTTTAGTGAGTCTACCAGATCAGAGGCAGTAGGGATGACCACGTGTTCTCTTGATAAGTGCGTGAATTGGATAATTTTCCTGTCCTGCTAAGCATTCAAAATGTAACGAGTACTTTTGGGTGTCAGGGAAAATGTATGGAGTAAAAAGTACATTATTTTCTTTAGGAATGTAGTGAAGTAAAAGTAAAAGTTTCAAAAATATAAAATGGTAAAGTAAAGTACAGATACCCCCAAAAACTACTTAAGTAATACTTTAAAGTATTTTTACTTAATCACTTTACACCACTGATAACCAGTTCATAATAGCAATAAGGCAACTCAGGGGTTTGTGATATATGGCCAATGTACCACGGCTAAGAGCTGTGTCCAGGCACTCCGCGTTGCGTTGTGCGTAAGAACAGCCCTTAGTCGTGGTATATTGGCCATATACCACACCCCGTCGGGCCTTATTACTTAACTATAAAACAGGTTGTTTGGATCCTGGATGCTGATTGGTTGATATGCGGGAGTTGTGGGATAACAACTCCCAAAAAAGACCATGATGTGTTAATGTCATAATTCAACTGTTCGCAGCCCAGGCAGGAAATTCATAAATGTAATCTCCCTCTTCCATGCTACTATTTGGTTTGCAACAGCTGGGGGTTGTATAAACCTACCTGTCTGCCTCTACGAGCTGTGCAACTATGTATTATTTTTACAAATGCAATCCCTCCCGTGCCAGCAAAGAAGAGGAACGCACTGGCTGTCACCAACCAGCACCAGGACCATGGACAGTTCTTCCACTCGTGTCATTAACGGAAACGTCACTATTAACATCACCAACTAGCTTGGTTAGCTCGGACTCGCCAACCATAATAGAGGCCTATTGGATATTTATTAAATCAATATTTATTGAAGTTCTTTGCTCTCATCATCATTGAATATTTGCTAGCTAGCTACATGCCAATGATTTGTTTAGCATAGCAACATCGAACGAATAGAATGATTAGAATTAACGACTGGGTCAAAACATGAGAAAGGAACTAACGACCAGCCCGCTTGGGTAGCAACTTCACAATGCAAAACATTATTTAGTCTTTAAAATCATGTTTTTAATGAAAACAATTTTTTCCCTTTTTCGTGATATCCAATTGGTAGTTACAGTCTTGTCCCATCGCTGCAACTCCCCTGCAGACTCAGGAGAGGCGAAGGTCGAGAGCCATGCGTCCTCCGAAACACGACCCTGCCAAGCTGGACTGCTTCTTGACACACTGCTCACTTAACCCAGAAGCCAGCCGCACCAATGTGTCGGAGGAAACAACGTCTAGCCGGCGACCGAAGTCAGCGTGGAGGCGCCCGGCCCGCCACAAGGAGTCGCTAGAACGCGATGGGACAAGACAATCCCGGCCGGCCAAACCCTCCCCTAACCCGAATGACATTTTATCATTAAAAACATTATTTTAGAGAGTGAATTATTTTTTGCATCGTGATGGTCGTTAGTTCTTTTTTCATGTTTTGACCCACTCAGAACAGCCTTTGTCGGGAGTTGTCACATGATAATTCCCGGGTTCTCAGGCATTATTACTTAACTATACAGACTATAAGTGTCTGTTGACTACTGTCTATTGTACTATTTCACATTGTGGAGGATAGAATGGACCTTAACCTGGACTTCATAGACTTGCATCAGCAGGGCAAAGTTGGTGGTGTGGTTGCAGAAGCAGACAGTGGAGTCATACTGTTTAGAGATGACTGCACAGCCTTTAGTAGACCACCACCCACCTGCCTCTGGCCTAGAGGGGGACAACAGTTTTACACTTTCATAAAAATGTATGGTAACCATTACACTAATAAATCAAACACTGATTTCTATAGATGTAAGCAGGTTAGCGTGTTTCGTCATGAATCTTGCCCTGGAGGCAGCTCTGCAGATTGGTCACTAGCTGGCACAGCCACAAAGTCATACAATCTGATTTTAAACCTAACCCTAACCTTAATCCTAACCTTAACCACACTGCTAACCCTAATGTCTAATCCTAACCTTACATTTTTACAATATAGCCAATTTTGACTTTGCAGCTGGCCATCTAGTAGAAATCGCTCAGTTCTGCCTCCAGGAAAAGACTCATCCCAATAAACGTCAACCTGCTAGACATAATGACAGAGAATCTGCTGTCACTATACTCACATCAGATCAAAGTCCCAGAATGCACAGATTGGGTCATACACGGTCCCTGCAGGATTCTAAAGGAATCGATGGAACAGGACATCATTTCCCACTTACAGTAAAGGACAGGCTTATGAAGGAGATAGAGGGATATATCATATTCTCTGTGAAAGAGGCAGAGGTATATAGTGTATAGAGGAAATATAGTCCATGTGAGTGTGAGACACTGAGGTCCTTACTTGAGCTCTGTGTTGGAGCTGGAAGCGTACAGCCATGCTGACAGGCTGTCCATCCCCCAGGACTGTAGTAGAGATGACAGAGGAGCCCAGGATGGTGCCCAGGTACCTGACACACATAGCACAGCACAGGCCATATGGTGACAGTCACACATAAGGCTGTGTATCAACACTGGATCATGCTCAGTAGGCACTAATGGAGAAATAAATCTTAATGGAAAATGAAAATGAATGTTCTTAACCTATACTGGATCGGTGTCCCTATACCGGGACAGTTGCTGCTCAATATGCGATATGTGACTAGAATGGCGTTGTAAACAACAGCCAACTTTCTGGGACATAGACATGTCTTACATGGGCAGAAAGCTTACATGATTGTTAATCTAACTACAGTGTCCAATTTACAGTAGCTATTACAGCAAAAAAATACCATGCTATTGTTTGAGGATTGTGTACAACAACAAAACACTTTTATCACGGCAACTGGTTTGATACATTCACCTCCGAAGGTAAATAATGTACTTACATTCAGTAATCTTGCTCTGATTTGTCATCCTGAGGGTCCCAGAGATAAAATGCAGTGTCGTTTTGTTTGAAAAATCCATTTTTATATTCAAACGTAGGAACTGGGTTCTACAGTTTGACCCCACTGCTGTCTCTGGCTCCACACCCACCCCCGCCCGGCCATCTAGAGGTGTGAAGGTTAGTGTCTTTTCTGTAGGGAAGCTAATGATCCATCATGTATGACATTCCTGGGAGTGTGTAAACTTAAATTTTTTATTACCATAGTGTTTTTGTATGTTCTCTATAGTTATGTACTTGAAAATGTATGCATTTATCAATTCGGCACATTTGGGAAAACTCCTGGCAGACTTGATACAAAATATTGTGTAGTGATGTAATTCTTCACTGGAGCAGTCTGAGACTTTGCACACACACTGCTGCCATCTTGTGGACAACATCTAAATTACACCTAGAATCCTACATCACTGTCTGGCCTTTTGCTTGCATTTCAAAGATCATGCAACAACAAAAACATTGAAAACGCATGTTTTTTGGTTTGTATTATCTTTTACCAGATCTAATGTGTTGTATTCTCCTACATTAATTTCACATTTCCACAAAGTGTTTCCTTTCAAATGATATCAAGAATATGCATATCCTTGCTTCAGGTCCTGAGTTACAGGCAGATAGATTTGGGTATGTCATTTTAGGCGAAAATTGAAAAAATGGATCCGATCCTTGGACTGATTCAAATCTACAGTAATTAATGAAAAAACGACTCGCCCTGTTTCAAATTATTTCTCCTCATTTCGTGCCTACTGAACATGACCTTGGTCTAAAACATTTCAGAGTTCTCGTCTTCCGTACCTCTGGATGCCATCAGTGACGATGGGAAACATTGTGATGTTCTCCTCTGAGTTGAAGAGAGGCCGCAGGGAACTGTACCACGTGTTGACCACAGTCACCTTCTGGAAGCCTGCTCATACAACATCAACATAAACAACACATCTCCACTAACCAAACTGAGTGTCACTGTCTTCTAAGAACACTAGACAGTTTAACATGCAGCACTAAGTGGAAACACAGATCAATGCTATGTCTCACAATAGCCAGTTAATATAGATTGTAATGAATAGTTGACTAAAGGCCTTGGGAGTGCAAATGCATGAATACATACTGTCTGTACCATGCATTGACAAGTCTGTACCAGTACATATCCTGCTGGGCACAAACTGGTTGAATCAATGCTGTTTCAACGTCATTTGTCAACTTATTGTGACTTGGAATCTTTGTGGAAAATACATTGCATTTGAAAAAACTGTTGTTTTGAGAGTGAAGTTTCAACATAGACAAACCTTGTATAAAATATGTTGAATTTGTACCTTTAAAACAATGTCAGATCTTCAACGTTATATCCACTATCAGAAAAAAACACAATTTGTCTGGGCAGCACCTCCTACTAGAGAATTTATTTATTTACAGCTACCGATCCAAGGTTTAAACCAAGCTTTGATATTTGTCACTGACTATTACCAATGTGCTATCGTGAGAATGATTGTTGAGAGATCTACACTTAAAAACTAAAGACATTCATTGTTGCAATGGAAGTAATTCTAAAGGGTAGGTTTAACAGAGTGAATGAAATGTGAACATACTTAATCACTCATATATCATCAATTATGCTATTTAGGCCTATATAGCATTTTCAAAGTCATCAACAGCTGTTGTTTCGATTAAACCCAGAATTCAACTAATACATTAGGCCTAGGGTTTCAAGTTCTGGTTGATTTAAAATGTAATGATATTTAGTGATGTTGAATTGTGTATGGTTGGTTGTCAACACAGCCAAATATCAACATTTTAATGAGATGTATCTTCTGCTTGGATAGTTCCATCTGTGCCACTGACTTGGTTCTGGCTTTAATTCCACTTTGTATACAAATAAATAATTGATATGTTGGATTCACGTCTCCATCCCAACCAAAATCTAAGTTAAAGAATAGGAGTAAATCAAACGTTGTTGAAAGTGCATTTAAAGTTTGATTTAGTCATATTCTTTAGTTTAGATTGTTGGTTGAGATGTAGACGTGAATCCAACATATACATTATTCATTTGTAGACAAACTGGAATTAAAGCCGGACTTAGTCAGTGGCACAGATGGAACTATCCAAGCAGAATATAAATATCCTTCAAATGTTGATATTTGGTTGCATTGACAACCAAACACAATTGAATATCACTTTTGAAATACAATAAATAGCCTATTAACTTGTCGACAAGTTAACAAATTATATTAACGTCTCATACTCAACAAAAATAAAAGTTAAAGAATGTGTTTAAGCCAGTGGCTCAGATGGAACTACCCAAGCAGTAGTCACTATCCACTGGGCATAGACGTCAGTTCAATGTCTTAATTTACATTTGGTTGAGTTGTCAACTAATATGAATTCAACGTGAAATCAACAAAAAACGTCACCATGTCATTGGATATATATATATTTTTTTAATATAAGACGAACTGCCCTTACGTTGATAACTTTTTACAAATCCAATTAGTTTTCCACATTGATTCAATGTCATCACATTGATTTTTTGGGTTGAAATGACGTGGAAACAATGTTGATTCAACCAGTTTTACATCTCCTTTAAATGTTGATATTTGGTTAGGTTGTCAACCAAACACAATTCAATATTACTTTTGTAATACAGTAAATAGCCTAAGGTTAATGCTATCTTACAAACTAATGTAACATTCAACCTTATGTAACTATACATTTATTTTTATATAATCATATAAAGCGTGTATGTTCAAGATAACATGGATAGGTTGTCAGGTCTGTGGATATCTTCACAATTGCTGTAATAATCTGTGCAGAATCTCAAAAGGCATTGATCACTTGCGCCATGTACTTTTAATGTAATCTCAACTGCAATCCAGGTCATTTAGTTCTGCTATTAGATGAAGCAAAGTGATAACACATCAATTTGTTGTATAAATAAAGAAAATATCTCACATTGTATTCCCATTTGAACTTTGCTGTGATTTTAAATGGTTGAAAGCGCAGTGATAGACATTTGGGTGTAAACCAAAAACATGACATTGTTTTTCCATTGGAATTTGGTTGTGCTTTTAGATGGTTGAAAGCATTGTGATAACACATTGGAAATTTAACAAACTTTTGGTTTTAGTTTTGAGTGGGTGAATATAGGTTGTAATCTCATTGATCAACATCTCAACCAAAAATGACCCAATTATCCACATTGAAATGACATGGTGTGCCCAGTGGGATATGCCTACAAAACTGTGCTTGATAAATGCGTGGTATGTCAAATAAAATCCTGCTTCACTAGGTGTTTACTGTTAGTGGAATGCATGGTTGAGACTGTAAAAGCACTAGGCTATGGCTGAAGGAGTGCAGATGAGATACGCTCTCAGGGCTGTCTCTCACCGTTGTCATGGAGATTCTGCATGTTCTGCGTGGGGACTGAGATACAGTCTATGTTGGTGTCGCTCTCTACGTCTCGACCACAGAACTTAGGCCCACTAGATCTCTCTCCCAGTCTCTGCTGCCGAACCTCCAGCTCTGAATCACATAAAGACATATTCTCAGTGGAATTAACATAATACTATAGTAAGAGGAATGGTTGTAGTACTGGTACCGAGTCAATGTGCAGGGGTACGAGGTAGTTGAGGTAATTGAGGTAATACAGTATGTACATGTAGGTAGGGGTAAAAGTGACTGGACAATCAGGATAGAAAATAAACAGAGTAGCATCAGCAGCGTATGTGAAGAGTGTGAAAGTGTGTTTATGTGTGAATGTGTGTGTGGCGTCAATATGTATGTGTGTGTGTGTGTGTGTGTATGTGTGTGCGTGTGTGTGTGTGTGTGTGTGTGTGTGTGTGTGTGTGTGTGTGTGTGTGTGTGTGTGTGTGGAGTGTCAGTGTAGTATGTTTGAGTGTGTGGGTAGAGTCTAGTGAGTGTGCATAGAGCTAGTGAAGAACTAAGGAAAGGACCAGCATGGAGCTCATGTGGCGGGGTCTAAAAGAAGTCCAGATGTCTCTGCATAGCAGTAAACACACAACACAAAGCAAGACCGAACCAATAACATTTTTAAGTGGCCAATTCTGAATTAGATATTATCGGTTCGATATTGATTTGTGTTGTAGTATGTCTGTCCCATAGAGATCCTATTATAGTGTTCTAATTCCTAATTCTATGGTCGGTCCGCTCTCTCAGCCTTTCAGCAGCACACAGAACACACTCTAACAGTCTAGAGAATGTACTGTAATCTACTAAGTGACTCACTGATGTTGGAGCTGTGGATGAGTAGATGGTCCGTTTCTGCCATCAGCCGAGTGCTCAGACTGGTCACCATGCGGTCAATGCTCTTGACCACAGCCATCGGTCCACTCACCACCTAGGACAAGGTGGGGATAAGGGTATGGGGTTGAATCATATAGATATACTGGTCATTGGTAGGGCCAGGAGTTTCACCTGACCACGTGACCTGACCAGGATATTAAGCCTATAACTAGGACCCAGAGTTTGGTCAGGCGGTCAGGAGACTCCTGGCTGTAGTTATTGGATAGAGCAGACACTGTGGGTGAAGCAGTGCTATGTGGATGAGGAAAGCCACAGTGTTTCAGTCCTCAAGCTGCTCTAATACATTCAGTCTGGCTGTGCTGTACTGCTGTGACCTTGGAGGGTAGAGAGGCCTGGGGGAGGGGAGGTGGGGGAGGTGGGTGAAATGGGGGAGGCAAGATCTGCAACAATATGAACGCTTATCATATGGCTAGCACTAGGATACATAGACATGCAATACTTGCTGTTTATATGAAGTATAATATTAGACATGTCTGAGTAATTGTTTTGGATGGGATCTGTTAACCATAATAGCACAAAGCACTTCACTGTGTTCCTTTGAAGAACATTCAACAAAGACAATAATGGATATTATCTTCAAAATGTTCACACACATTTGAAAATTCCCAGAGATCATAATAGTACGTGAAAAAGTGCTGCATCAATATACAAATTCAACCTGTTTATTGTCATGCCCGATTTTCATGCAATCTAGAGCAGATTAAATTGAGTGTATCTGCGATTAAGTTTGATCAAGATTCAACCCTATGTGCTCTGTACAAGTACACTAATCTAGCCAAGTGTAACCATTCATTTGATAGTTTTTCATTCACATTATCCATTTGAGCTTACTGCCCTCTAGTGGAGATATGCTCAAATAACACTGTAATACTCCAGTAGTCTTGTTTATGTTCCCAACACGTTGGCGGCTCTACCTCCACCTGTTCCCAGTCATTGTTTTAGCCTGCCTCTCTGGTACCTGATGTAAGAAGGGCTTTATAAAAACTTTTGAATAATTGATTGGTACCTGTTTGATGGCCTGCCACTTGGGGGCGTTGTCCTGGCTGATGATGCTGTCAGCCACAGTGATAAAGGTGTGGCTGAGCTCCCCAGCGCTGGTGGTGGCCAGGCTGTCGTTGCCTACTGCGGCCGTGTCTGTGGGCACGTCTGCAACCCGCGCTAGCAGCTGGACCAGGGACAGCATGTCCCCTGGCTGCAGCCCCTCCCTAGTGTCCTCCAGGGCCTGCCTGGACATGTTTAGCAGACTGGACGCCTGACCCCAGCTCATCTGGCCCCCTGGCTGCTCCCCCATCACACCCTCCATGCCCTAATACACAAGCATGCACACACACACACACAGCAGAGGATGGAGAGGAAGTCAAAAACAGGGTTAAAAGAATATTGAACATAGCACACTGACAGAACAACCAATTCACTGACAGAATAACCAATTCACTGACAGAACAACCAATTCACTGACAAAACAACCAATTCACTGACAGAACAACCAATTCACTGACAGATCAACCAATTCACTGACAGAACAACCAATTCACTGACAGAACAACCAATTCACTGACAGAACAACAATTCACTGACAGAACAACCAATTCACTGACAGAATAACCAATTCACTGACAGAACAACCAATTCACTGACAGAACAACCAATTCACTGACAGAACAACCAATTCACTGACATAACAACCAACGATTTACAGTAATCAGTCTTTACCTGCGTTCCATTGGAGAGCTGCATGAGCTGGTGCATGAAGGGACTGGGATGGGAGCGCTGAGACTCACTCAACTCCTTCATCTTAACATAGCGCTCTGTAACAAACAGTCATGTCAGAGACAGTCCATGGTTCCTCTCTGATGTTTGGTGAGGGTAGTTACTAGCATTGTACAAAGTCACAAATATTCATGTTCAGTCAGTTTCCCTAATGTGATGCAAAATTCATTTCACTTGTCTGTTCAGAAGTAGACAACTTATGGGTGTACAGTAATGAGCCATGCAGTACTGTGATAGCCCTCTTTGTTACAGTATGTAAGTAATGGTCTGGTCCTAGGTAGTGGCAGTCTAGGACTCACCCCTGCTGGTCCTGCAGATGAAGGGCAGTGTGGTGGAGCAGTCCGCAGAGTCATACAGGGGGAGCTGTTGGCTAGACCAGCCCTTTAGAGTCCTGCAGCCCTGCATCGCCCTCTGCCTGTGGACCGCTGCTCACACAACACACACACACACACAGCATGAGACAGCTCCAGTGACTACATCATCTGTTCTACCAAAGTTAATGGAAATACATTTAAATGACTCGCTTGCATCAAGTGAGTTCTTGATTTTGTGACACTTTTGTTTAATCCATAGTCCTCTAAGTATTTTGTTTATTTTAGCATGCTGTAGCCTAACATAACATATTTGAAATAAGTGAAATACCATAATATTTTAATATTCATCATATTCAACAACCTTTGAAAACACAGACAATTCCTTGCAATTGATTTGACCGTGTTTTTACTGAGAATGGATGCCAGCAAAAAGCCCATCCATCGTGAGTCAGTTCACTTGTTAAACATAGCAATGAAATCCATTATTTTTCATGACGGTTAAACATTTTGTTGCTTTTCACTATTGAGTAGAGCTCCATTCTCTTCGTAAAGCAGACCTCATACTTGCACGAAGCCCCGTCCCTCTGCCCTCCACATGGCCTTTAGCCAGTGAACCACGCTAACCAGTTTCCTCTCCCCAATGTCTCTCTCTCAGACAGACATAGTGGATGTGTTCAGGCAGACAGCCACTGGCTTCACTGGCCTCTTTAGAGGTAGATCACCTTGAATGATTCCAACAACCAACTGACGGAAGACTGGGAACAACCACCACTGCCTCGGTATTGGATTAGTAATAGAAATGGATTGGTCTGGAAGAAGGGCTATAGGTTTGCCATAGAATGTCCTATTGAGGAGGTACCATAAGATAATTAAAAGGCTATGTGAAAGAATCAAAAGACCTACATTCTGATCAAAACCTGCAGGAGGCCACCCAAATAATGTGAGCTGAATTTTATGAGTGAACAAATCCTTCATCAATGTAAAGTACCGCAATAGGAGCAGGAGACCACAAGGGGGCAGGTGAAACAATATGGCTGACAGTAAGTTTTGGCCAAGATTCAACTGCTATGTAGGGGAATCTCATTGCTGTGTGACTGTAGGTGCAGTCTCACCTGGACAGAACAGCATGGCTGGCACCTCTCTGACCACTGGGTGACGGGTCATATTATCAATACTCCAGGTAAAGATAGCGTCCTGGGTCAAAGATGAGCAGCCATTCAGGGCACGGAACTGCCTCTGCTCCAAGGCTGTGTCCCAGACATTCAGATCTGTGATATTCCCTACAAAGGGCTCAGTGAAGTTCCCCCCAAACGAGTCCTGGTCCTGCCCCAGGATAAGTATGCCATCTCCATGTATGTCCCTGGGGGTGTCAGACCCGGAGCCCATGTCCCCCCTCTCCCCATCCACATAGATGGCCCAGTGGCCGTCAGTCTTGCGCCAGGTGACACAGAGGTGGTGCCAGGCCCCATCGTTGGGGAAGGATGCCTTGTAGGGGCGGTGCTGCCCATGAACAATGAGTGCCAGCAGGATGCGTCCTGTCCCGTCCAACTGCCCGCGCAGCTGGAACTCGTTGGTGAAGACGGCCGCGGCGTAGGAGTACATGGTGGACACCTGGTACCACTGGGGGTCCCACTGCACGCGGACGCACACGCTCACCGCTGGCATTGCCGGGAACGTCATGTTGACACGGCCGTAGCCCTCCTGGGAGTCCCTGGGGAAGTTCAGGGCTTGGAACAACACATCTAAACAGGTAGAGACAGAAGGAGATCACTTTCAATGCTAACCCTAATCCAAACCCACAACACCAAAGTACAGATCATCATGCAATATTGCATCAGGACATACCGATCTAAGATCTTAATTTGAGCCAATTTTCTACAGCAGAAAAACAATCCTGCAGCAATAGGAAATGTGAATTATTATGTGGATTATAATTAATGGACATTTTTGTAGGGATTGATCAATTGTTTCATTAGGGCAAATCAAGTCTGACATTTCAAAGTGGAAATGACAAAGTTTAGAAGCCTTTTTAAAACTAAAATACACTACAAGTTTGCGTTTCCTGCTATGAAGGAAAATTCTCAGCAACAAAAGAGTGATCAAATTATGATCCTACATCTGTAGGTGTTTAAGTTATTAACTCACACTGTTTGGTGAGGGCCAGAGACCTGCTAGTTGGTCTGTTGGGGTCCCTGACCCATATGGGTCCATGCAGGCCTGCCTGCCTCTGGAGCTCCAGGGTTCCCTCCTCGTCTTCAGGTTGGCCCAGGGTGGTGAGGGAGCTGAACTGGCCCCTGCAGAAGCTCCCTGCCTGGGAGAGGTCCAGGGACACGTTGACCAGCTGGAACACCCAGTCTGATGTTTGATGGACCAGGCGCAGACTGCTGCCCTCTGTCAATATGACACCAGGAACACACAACCACAAATAGGCATGGATCAGTCCACATGTGGATATCACACTTTACAGGAACACCTCTATCATCTCTTTGAGCAAATCTCTATGGAAACAACATGGAATAGCCTTGATGTACAAAAGAGTTTCAAGCATCATACATCAGATTGTAAGAGTTGCTGCCATGGCATTGAAAGTGATTGACAGTTCCAGAACTCACCTTCTGAGCCCCTCTCTCCTCTGTCTAGCCCTGGCTGTGTTGGCTCACATTCACACAGCACCTACCATAAAGGAAAACATTTACACTGCTTTATTCTGTTGGCTATGGCATAGACATGTAATATCCTTGATATTTATTTATCCAATAATCTCAAAATAGAAACAAACCGAATAATCAGTCAAATTAGTAGTTGTGTTAAGCCTATCAAACTTATCAGATCTACCAACGAATGCATTCATTTCTAAAATAAAACACTGAAAATGTGAACTTGTTTTTTTCTCCAAATGATTTCATAGTTTACGTAAGAAAGGAATAGACATTACCACTATGCAACAGAGCAGAACCGGAGTCAGCAGGGTTCCAGTCATCTCTACTTCTCAATGTTCCACAGCTGGAAGAAAACAAAATGCTTACTGGCCTCTGCCTTTCAGGGAACATTTAGGTTAACTTCAATGGATCATGCTGTAGTCTCTTTTCATATCAAAGACAAATTCACTTCTGTTCAACAATACAATGACTAACACAGCACAAAAACATGTGTGGTTAAACAATATTTGAAAGATGATAGATACTATACTATATGTTTTGTATATTTCAAAGAGAACTATGTCAAATAAAATAGCTGTACACTACTCCTCATCTAACACATATAAAAGGTACCTCAGAACCAGACTGCAACATGTGATGAGTAACTGGGCTTACTGTAGACTTGTAGTGAACAGGCTGCTCCTGCTCCAGCTCTCACTGCTCAGTGTTACGCCAAGGCTGCTGTAACTCTCCTTACGTCCTGATGACCACTACTCCGATGTACTGTGTGTCCTCTGACATATGCCCAGTCCATTCATCCAGTGTCCAGCTCCAGTCTCCAGCATGTCCTGGCTAACTGGCCTCTGTGGCGAAGCCTCTGCCGTACATGGTGAGGAGCGTCCGTCTGATGCTGCCAGCCAGGAGGTACAAATCACAGCCTTTCTGTCCAACAGTCCACCTCTGCCTCCAGCCAGCCTTCTCTCCCCTCTACCTCCACCTTCCTCAGCACCCTTGAATCAGAAGCACACTTTGTCATGCAAATAGGGCCATTAAAAAAAAAGATCCCTACTAACGCAAGCAGTGTCAAGCGCTTGGCACAGAGAGTTATTCAAGACCAGCAGGGTGGTAGGCATTTTAGCACCCCTCCGATTAATGTCGCTACTGCTGCTGAGTTCCTTTAAGTTTACTGTATACATACGGTATCAGTACATTACGTAGTCAAAGAGACGCCATTCACTACAGATGATAATAAATGCAACCAAAGTAAATGATAGGGCATCATCTATTTCAGGTAGTTTATTCCATTTGTATAACATACTTACACATACTTTCTTCTTGGATGTACATAGTGTACAGTATAGATTTATACACATTTACAGTGAGTATACTGCATACCTGCACTGTATATTAAATGAAGTAAATAGTATGGACCACTCTGTCTGTTTCGGGAGAGGGATCCTCCCGTGTGCCCCTAAGTACACACACGTGTCCTTGAGTGTAAGAGCCCAACACAAAATCCATGACATCACTAATGCCCAATGTACACTGATCTGGAAGACAAAGAGCTGCATTAGTATTCCCCTGCGCACCAACTAACCCACAGCCTGAAAGCCACACCACAGACCCAGATCCACAAAGCCTGTTGCTGCTGCATGAAGATGGGCACTCCTCATCTCTACCCTCTCTTTATCTAGTCTCTGAACAGCAGCCTGCTGCCTCCCCTCATCCAGACCATACACATTGGTTTGACCACGTAACCATCTTTTGCAAGTTTGCATTTGGAAATATTGTAACAAAATAGATGCATGTCTCTCAGATGTATTGAAGGGTTCAGATTGTTTAAAATTCCTCAGTTCATTGTAGAAAATGTATGGTCTGCATTGACTATTAATCATCTCAACAGGCTTTATGAAGAGTATAAATTAGGTTCTAAGTGCGTGTCTCTGTCCACCTTCTGTGTAAACAGTATAAGCCCTGTGTTGCTGACTCACTGCAGTAAAACACATTAGAGGTTGATGCATAAAACTTAACTACCACCTGTTCGCTCTATACACTGAGTTGACAAAAATAATGGGTATAGTTGTGATGTTTCCTCCCACTCAGGGTGTCAGCAAAGGACACACAAGCAAATATTTGAAACTCATGATGATGTTTAGTGGGGTATTGACGGCTCATGTCATTTGCCTTTACAAAACAAGTAGTACGTTTAACATGGTGGTTAAAGTTTATGAATCAACCCCATTGTTATGTTTGTGAAAGGTAGAGAAGGGATTTGTCTTGTGTGTTGGTGTGATAGGGGCATGAATTCAGGAAAGGTCTCTGTATGCATAAGACATTTTAAATCCCATTCAAAAACATATCGATTGATGGTTTAATTAACTAATTGACAACACTAATCAATATTCAGCTATTCACTTCAATCCATCTTTCCCTTAATGTAATTTGGGCTAACTGCAGGGCTTTCTGAAAAGGTACTGAGATGTAGGGTGACTGCGTGACAACCATGTTGAGGAGTGTGAGGAGAATGTGGTGTGTAGGGCTGAGGGAGGAGATGTGGAATGCAGTGGAAGCATGACTACCTTGGCACACAGGTATTTCAACTACAATGCAATGAATCACAGAGTGATAAAAGCAATGCTGGTCAACACATAATGTGGAGGAGGCACCACAGCATTGTCCGGGGGCTCCCAGCGCACAGCAGGAGCAAAGAGATAAAAGTCTGGCTGAAAAAGCACCTCTTTAACAGCTGCATGTTCATGGTAAAGAAAGAGCCCAGGACTTTGGGGGAGGCTCCGACCTACTACATAACTTTGTGTATCCTGGTGCTGATCCTATCCACACAAACAGTAGTAGATTAGCTACTGTATGTCAGATCATAACTGTCATTGTAGATATGGGGAAGAGAGTGTCACTGGCTTGCTGACATGAGAAGGTCTGAAAATGGTGATGTTGTTATTGGGATGCTGCAAACGGCAAGTACAGTGGCTTGCGAAAGTATTCACCCTCCTTCGCATTTTTCCTATTTTGTTGCCTTACAACCTGAAATTAAAATAGATTTTTGGGGGGTTTGTATCATTTGATTTACACAACATGCCTACCACTTTGAAGATGCAAAATATATTTTATTGTGAAACAAAAAAGAAATAAGACAAAAAAACAGAAAACTTGAGCGTGCATAACTATACAACCCCCAAAGTCAATACTTTGTAGAGCCACCTTGTGCAGCAATTACAGCTGCAAGTCTCTTGGGGTATGTCTCTATAATCTTGGCACATCTAGCCACTGGGATTTTTGCCCATTCTTCAAGGCAAAACTGCTCCAGCACCTTCAAGTTGGATGAGTTCCGCTGGTGTACAGCAATCTTTAAGTCATACCACAGATTCTCAATTGGATTGAGGTCTGGGCTTTGACTAGGCCATTCCAAGACATTTAAATATTTCCCATTAAACCACTCAAGTGTTGCTTTAGCAGTATGCTTAGGGTCATTGTCCTGCTGGAAGGTGAACCTCCGTCCCAGTCTCAAATCTCTGGAAGACTGAAAGAATTTCCCTGTATTTAGCGCCATCCATCATTCCTTCAATTCTGACCAGTTTCCCAGTCCCTGCCGATGAAAAACATCCCTGCCACAACCATGCTTCACTGTGGGGATGGTGTTCTTGGGGTGATGAGAGGTGTTGGGTTTGCACCAGACATAGCGTTTTCCGTGATGGCCAAAAAGCTCAATTTTAGTCTCATCTGACCAGAGTACCTTCTTCCATATGTTTGGGGAGTCTCCCATGTGCCTTTTGGCGAACACCAAACGTGTTTGCTTATTGTTTTCTTTAAGCAATGGCTTTTTTCTGGCCACTCTTCCGTAAAGCCCAGCTCTGTGGAGTGTATGGCTTAAAGTGGTCCTATAGACAGATACTCCAATCTCCGCTGTGGAGCTTTGCATCTCCTTCAGGGTTATCTTCGGTCTCTTTGTTGCCTCTCCTATTAATGCCTTCCTTTCCTGGTCATATTCTTTCCATTTTTTAATAATGGATTTAATGGTGCTCCGTGGGATGTTAAAAGTTTCGAATATTTTTTTATAACCCAACCCTGATCTGTACTTCTCCACAACTTTGTCCCTGACCTGTTTGGAGAGCTCCTTGGTCTTCGTGGTGCCGCTTGCTTGGTGGTGCCCCTTGCTTAGTGGTGTTGCAGACTCTTGGGCCTTTCAGAACAGGTGTATATATACTGAGATCATGTGACAGATCATGTGACACTTAGATTGCACACAGGAAGACTTTATTTAACTAATTATGTGACTTCTGAAGGTAATTGGTTGCACCAGATCTTATTTAGGGGCTTCATAGCAAAGGGGGTGAATGCATATGCACGCACCACTTTTCCGTTATTTATTTTTTAGACTTTTTTTAAACGTTATTTTTTTCATTTCACTTCACCAATGTGGACTATTTTGTGTATGTCCATTACATGAAATCCAAATAAAAATCCATTTAAATTACAGGTTGTAATGCAACAAAATAGGAAAAACGTCAAGGGGGATGAATACTTTTGCGAGGCACTGTACATAATGATGATGTTTTAAACGCCACTGGAGATGGTGGAGAAATATCTCTCAGAGTGCTTTTGAAGGCTTTGTAAGCTGGTTGCGTTGGGCTCACTCTGTAAACAACTGCACATTCAGACGCATTGTTTGGCCACTATGGGTTTTTCCTCAGAACAGCCTTGTTTCACCCAAAGTCAACACTCCCTTACAAAAAAAACCACCTATCAAATTTGCAGTTTTCACATTTTCACATACAGTACCTTGCAAAAGTATTCATCCCCCTTGGTGTTTTTCCTATTTTGTTGCATTACTATGGAGGACTAAAAGTGCCACAATTAAATAAATAAATACACCATTAAATAATTACTTAAATGTGTCATTAATTAATTCAAATTAGAATTAAATACATAAATGTGTTATTAAATGTGTCATTAATTAATTCAAATACCGATTCATTTTATGTAAAATACATATATAATAATTTCACTATTTACATTTACATTTCATGGTCCTGCGTTGGAGTGCTTCCTGAATTACTTAAAACTGTCAAACTGACCCATCAAAAGTTGGTAGGCGGAACCTAACGCCTGATTGGTTACCCTCTGCATCAAGCCAAGACAAATCAATTCCGGATAATGTCAGCAGGTCCTGCTTCTACATCCTCTGCTAAGTTTAAAATGTCTCTAACCAACTCCCTGGAAAGTTCACGGAGATCCTCCATTGTCTCTATCCAGGTTGGCCTACTCTACTTCAGACCAAAGCAATGGATCAGACTAGATTCGCGTTAGCCCCGCCCACTGACTTTGATGGGTCAGTTTGACAGTTTTAAGTAATTCATGAATCACTGCAATGCAGGATCATGAAATGTAAATGTAAATAGTGAAATAATTATATATGTATTTTACATAAAATGAATCGGTATTTGAATTAATTAATGATACATTTAATTACACATTTATGTATTTAATTCTAATTTGAATTAATTAATGACACATTTAAGTAATTATTTAATGGTGTATTTATTTATTTAATTGTGGCACTTTTAGTCCTCCATACATTACAACCTGTAATTTAAATAGATTTTTATTTGGATTTCATGTCATGGACATACACAAAATAGTCCAAATTGGTGAAGTGAAATGAAAAAAAATCCTGTTTATCTGTTTAGCCTCAGCCCAAACTTTCGTCGCCATTACCAGCTGTTGTCTTAGCTCTCTCGAATAACACCTGTGATTGCTTTATGCCTCTCTCCCATGTCAATATGCCTTGCCTATTGCTGTTTCGGTTAGTTCTTATTGTACTATTTCACTGTAGAGCCCCCAGTCCGCTCAACCTGCCTCAGATAGCTAATTTGTCCCACCCCCCATACACGCAGAGACCGGCTCAATCGGTGCCTCCAGTGATGCTATCTCTTTCATCGTTACCCAACGCTTATGTTTACCTCCACTGTACTCATATCCTTCCATATCCTTGTCTGTACATAATGCCCTGAATCTATTCTACAACGCCCGGAAATCTGCCCCTTTTATTCTCTGTACCCAACGCACTAGAAGACCAGTTCTTAAAGCCTTTAGCCGTATCCTTATTCTATTCCTCCTCTGTTCCTCTGGTGATGTAGATGTTAACCCTGGCCCTGTAGCCCCCAGTATCACTTCTACTCCACAGGCGCTATCATTTGTTAACTTCTGTAACCGTAAAAGCCTTGGTTTCTTGCATGTTAACATCAGAAGCCTCCTCCCTAAGTTTGAGTTATTCACTGCGTTAGCACACTCTGCCAACCCTGATGTTCTAGCAGTGTCTGAATCCAGCTTAGGAAGGCCACCAAAAATTCAGAAATGTCCATCCCCAACTACAACATTTTCCGTCTAGATAGAACTGCCAAAGGGGGCGGAGTTGCAATCTACTGTAGAGATAGCCTGCAGAGCTCTATCATACTATCCAGGTCTGTGCCCAAACAGTTTGAGTTTCTACTTCTAAAAATCCACCTTTCCAGAAATAAGTCTCTCACTGTTGCCACTTGCTACAGACCCCCCTCCGCCCCCAGCTGTGCCCTGGACACCATACATGAATTATATATGCTATCCTCAGAGTTCGTACTGCTTGGTGACCTAAACTGGGATATGCTTAACACCCCGGTCG